GATAATTTTTTTTCATTATCGTGCCAGACTTAATGTCTTCGTTCAAAACATTCAAGCCAAATATATAAATCTATACGAAGTAGTGAAATAAGTAGAATTCATGTGTTTAGTAACATATATATAAATTAGTGGTGTTATTCGCAATAGCATTTATTGATAAGTGTTTAAAATTCATCGTTTTTCCTTAGTCCTCAAACAACAACAACGTCTTCAATTAATGCATGTGAAGTACAGTAATCTCGCGGGCGTGATAAACACGCGTATCCCACGCTACTTATATCAATATAATCATAAAGATTAGCATACAATCCATATGTCGCCTCCTTCAAATGGAGCAAAACGGTTTCTTCCTGTCTCCGGGACCCAACTTCATGCAATTATTCACTCGGCTGGCTTGTTTATTCCACGTTGTTAATAACTCATTACAAGAGCTGCCTACACATTGTTACAAGTAACCATAAAATAAATCTAAATTTTTTTATTTTTGAAAGATTTTTTGGACCGATTTTGTATTTTTGAGAATATATTACTGGTGGTAGGACCTCTTGTCAATCCGCATGGGTAGGTACCACCACGCTGCCTATTTCTGCCGTGATACAGTAATGCGTTTCGGTTTAAAGGGTGGGGCAGCCGTCGTAACTATACTGAGACCTTAGAACTAATATCTCAAGGCGGGTGGCGCATTTACGTTGTAGATGTCTATGGGCTCTAGTAACTTTAACACCTTTAGCTCCTTAACACCTGATTGGCTGTGAGCTCGTCCACCCAGCTAAGCAACAAAAAATAAAAAAAATCTGAAGCACATAACAATTCGTTCAACATGTTAGAACTAATTTTCATGGAATATACTTTTTGGTGTTTGGAAATTCGTAAATTCGTAAATTGGAAAACTTACAAAAAATTATTTACGCTATAATTAATTTAGTTTACCATTCATTAAACACTTCAAAATAAATGCAACAACTTTAGCAGTCAACAGAATTTAATGATCTAATTTCTAAGCGTCACGTACATAAATAAATAAGTAAACAGAATTCATTTTATTATTATGACCTTCTTCGAATCAACGCAAACCGCAGATTGAATTACTCAATGAACCTTAAATAGAATAATCCCATCCCTGTGTTATTGAATATACCTAGTCCAGATTGATCGCTTAATATATAATTGATTTAATTTCTTCTTCAATAATTAACTCGTGTTACCTGGTAATGAGATGTGGTTCTAAAATAGCACCACCTTATCTCTTACTGTGTAGTAAAGGAGGAATACGGAATTCACTGAAGAATGGACAGCAATGCTCTCTCAGTATTATACCATTTACTGATTGATGGTAGAAGACTGTTCGGATAGGTACTATCCTTTCGCCTATTTCTGCAGCGAAGCCATCATAATTTGGAGGATGGGACAGCCAATTATACAATGCAATTGGGACGTTAACCTTATGTATCAAGGTGGATGGCGGCATCCGCGTTGTGATGATGCCTATAAGTTCTGATAAATACTTTAGACGAAGTGGACCTTGGACTCGTTGAACCACACAAAAAACAATAAAATCCAGTGACATCCTTGACATTTTAAACTTTAATGAGTTTTCAGATTTAAATTTACAATTTCGTTCCACTAATTCCATTTTCGTACATTTTGTAGGACAGTTAATTTTCATGTTCGGCGCATAAAATCCCATTACGAATCACACGAAACAAACTTGTTTTTGTCCAACTCCAAACTCCACATTGTCATATAGTCGCTGCTATGTTATGCAAATGTTTTGGAGCACAACAATAAACTCTTTCACTGATAACGCACGAGAAAGTTATACGGCTTTCTTAACAAACCAAGAAGTTCTAGATTCGGATGCAGTAAATAGCAAATTGTTTTTTTTTTTGCTTTTTTTAATAATGATCGTCTATGATTAGGAAAGGGTCAAGAAGGACACTATCAAAAAAAATAACGAAAGAATAAACCTCGTTAATTTTCTGCTAGAAGAAAGAACCTTGACAATGGATCATAATGAAATCAGCGTTGAAAAATCGTTGTTTTTTAGCGGCGTGAGTCACGCGACAGCTCTATTCACCGTACCAACATCGAGACGTCCCCAAACTAATTCAACATCTAATCGATTACTACAGTTCCACCGCATCGCTTATTCGAACCATGAAACCAAATATTTTCCTTAATACATTCATATGATTTCACGTCAGGAAATTATTCAATACCGGGAATATAAGTATTTATTGATTAGTCTTAAGAATATAATTATCCTTCATTCATAATTGAATGTTGTTGAAAAGAAATAAAGAGAATAAAAACTGATAATACAGTTATAGGACATATTAATGGAAATGTATCATTAAGAGGCTATATTACCTAATACTAATTCCCTGATATTTGGTACACATAATAATATCTTTATCACTTTAAGCTAACAAGCGTCCTTGAATTAACCACCGCTTAAACACCCTACCACGCTTATAGCTTGCCAATTTAATATAATTTAATAACCTGGCCAAGGATATTCAAGAGCAGTTATAGCATTTTTACATCCACCAATTCTTATTAAGGTAAAAATCTAAATATTATAAATGCACCTTTTTGATGTAATTACAGGCAAGTTGTACCTTTTTTAATTTAAATAATCGCACAAAATACAATTGTGTAAATTCTTATAATACAAATATAGAAATTATATTTTATAGAGAATGCACTTTGATGGTTTTTCAATATAATACCCATTATCGGTAGGCGTCATCTGCACTGCAGCATATTACATGTTTTCGACAAAGACTTTTCTTTAGTACCTTTACTTAGAGATTCTTACGGATGATGGTACTTAGTACCTTCACTTCTAAAATACATTAAGTACATAGTTGCATTCGTTATGTTAATAATTCGCTCGCTTCCGCGATTTTGCGGGGAGCGGAAATCCTTAACGGACATATAAGCCTTCTTCCAAAACCTTCAAAAACATACTAATGAAAATAAACGTTTATTTTACGAAGCGAATTTAAAAAAACGGCTTAGATATACATACATATGTTATTTCCTGGTAATTAAAAGTTAACCTTAATGAAAATTTCAGTTTATCTATATATTAATACGTGAAGCAAAAACTTTGTATCCCTTTTTACGAAAATTGCGCGGACGGAGGAGTATGAAATTTCCCACACTTATAGAGAATATAGAGAAGGAGTGCACAATGCTAATATTTTTTTAAAACAATGCATGAAAGATACATTAAATCGATAAAGAAAAAATTACACACACTACCATGTATTTGACACACACACGCATGCATACTATTTGTTTATTGTCAAACTTTTCTTATTGCATCAAGTCTATGGTCAAATTGAGAATAGATTAAATATTGTTTGTCTTTGTTAATAATATTTTTTTATCTATAGTGTAGTCTTGGCGAAATTTGTGATTATAGAAATTGTGAAATAGAATCATAATAGTGTACAAACTTTTAATTTCGATTAATTATAGTCGAATTTCGACTACCGGGCGACCACTAGTTAAATGAAATACTTAAAGGCGAAGGTTCACCACATCGCTTTTTCGCATTAAAAGTGTACAATTTCCAAAAACATTCAAAATTGAGTTAATATGCGTAAACATTTGGTAACACCAGTATTTTTCTCATAAATGCTGTCAAAAGAGCGTAGTTTAGTTTTAGATTATTTTTTTAGTTTACCTATGTTTTGACTACTATTAACAAAATTAATACATAACTTTATCTTACTTTAAAAGACAGATAATGTAATTGGTAAAAAATAAAAATTAATGTTGCAAATATGATTAATTTTAAAAATATAACATGTTAAACCTTTAAAACACTCTCCTGTACTAATGAGTAAGTTATGAGATTATACAGTTTTAATGCGAGAAGACGACATTATGTTTTAGCTTAATGTAATCAAAAAGCGTAAATACAATTATTTTTCAATATCACGATGAAAGTATCTAAGCACATAATATAAAGGCACCTATAACGGATTCATCGGCAGGATAATGTAGGGAGTATCCGTCTCCCCGCTTCGCCAACGCTAGATTCCTCTCTTTTGATTACTTACTACTCGTATGGACACGAAAGAAACGGAAATTGCCATCCGCCGCGATCTACACAAAGCGGTGTTTACCTGAATGAAAAACTCCGCTGTTACACGGAAGCAAGATTACCTTGTAGATAATTTTAGGTTCCATTACTGCGACTACTTTGAATCTCAAGATTTGAGTATTTAGAAATGTTATCTATACTAATATAATAAAGAGGAAAGATTTGTTTGTTTGTTTGTATTGAATAGGCTCCGAAACTACTGAACTGATTTGAAAAATTCTTTCACTGTTTGGAAGCTACATTATTCCCGAGTGACATAGGCTATAATATTTTTGAAAAAAATTAGGGATCTTTACTAAAGCTTTAATAATATAACCCCATATATATAAAATTACCTAAAATATTCTTTACATAGCATGCCCCGCAAAAACGATTGATGATGGAATAAAATAATGTACTACGATTTTGTAGAACACATCATTATTTAGAAAAAGTGTCGCGACAGCATATGTCTAACTATTATAGTTATGCAATAAGTGTTCTTTTATTTAAAAAAATAAAACAACGTCAAATATCATTGAAATTTTTGGTAAAGACCCGAGCGGAGCCGGAGCGGGCCGCTTGTTCTCTTATATTTCGACGCTTATCAATTAAAATAATTTAAATAAAAACTCCAATATGTTAACCGCATCGCTTCAGCGTCGTACATTTAAAAATATTAAAAAATATTTTTTCCTCATTCGTAATGGAACTAGCCTAGATTCAAACCCAATAGCTCAAATTTATTGTAATCTAATTAAATTGTACTCTACATTATACAAGTATACGCCCAAAGTACCCAAAAGCAAAAAACTATTCTCGAAATCTAATGTATGATACTTTTTTTTAACTCTGCAAAAATGCTAAGACAAAATATTGTAAATGATATCTTTTTTTCCAGGTATTTTGACACAAAAACTTTGAGACTGACCAGCGGGGCTAGGGGCGGCTACGACATATTTGCTTCAGTTTACTCGTAAGTATTTAATATCGCTTCTTTCCCTAAGTTGTACTCATATTAGGCAGAAAGCTACATACATTTTTATTAGGAAAAACGCGCGTTAGAACGAAAGTTGACATCTTCCAATAGCATTAAATGGTATCTATTAAAAATATTACATGCTACCACAAAAAAATCTTTGCTCACTTTTAAAATAGAGCACATCAATTTTGAACATTATTGAAAAGCAGTCATAGAGTCTGCTTTAGAGAAAACCCAAATTTTTTATTTAATTTTTGCGGGGTACAAAAGTTACTAATCGTAGAGATCGGTCTTTAAATCGATACTGCCCTGCGACGCTACTGGGCCGGCGGTAGGTAACAATTAAAGACATGAGTGGATAAAGGTGTTATGTACCATTTTTTATTTTTTTTTATTTTTAACATTGAATGAACGTATAATAACCATATTAGACCTTAAAACTCCGGACTTAAAGGCTATTTTTAGAAATCGCATGTGATGAAGGAGTTATTTACGAAGAAAAAGTACAAGTAACAAATTGTATCATATCCCCTTCGTCCATTCATGTCTTTAATTATCCCTATTATCAGTAATTAAGCAAGTTTATAAATTGGGGGTGTCATTTTCTTATATTTACGACTACGATAAAGTAAACCTTATAGATAATAAATAGAACATATAACTAAACGGTAATAGTGATTCAAAATCTTAATCTTAACCTAAAGCTAAAAACATCTAAGTATGTATAGCTAGCAAAATTTTCATAACTTGGTTATTATTAATTAATTTTTAATAAAGTAATATTATTAAATAATTATTATTAAGTTAAATTTATAGGTAATTATTACAATATTGCATGTGATTTAATTAAATTACTTGTATAATAATTATATATTGAACGCAATAGCATTCCGCTATAATTAACGGGATTGTAGTACTGCGTTTTAAACCGTGAAATAAAAAAAATATATTACAATTTCTAGAAAATATACCAACGCTACTGCGAATTTTACGAGATACTCCATTCGGATAATTTCAATGCCATTCAAATCGTTTAACAATACAAAATATGTTCGAGTCAATTGTTTATTACAACAAAACTTACTAGACGCCGGGGTGTATGTATGTTTACATTGCTGTGCCGTATTTCAATTTTTTTAAATAATTCCCTTATTATTTTCTTTCAATTAACAATCAATCAAACATGTGTACGTGACTTCGTGGAACGAATGAGATTTGCCCCGGTACCGTTTAAAATCGTCGCCACGGGCTGGTACAATATTTTTTTCTAAGAAAGTAATTAAGGTTTACATTAGTCGCATCGTATCGTAAAGGTTATCAAGATTCGTGATTTAACGATTTCTGTTTGATTCTGTTTGTTTTTTTTATTTTTTATTGCTTAGATGGGTGGACGAGCTCATAGCCTGCCTGTTGTTAAGTGGTTACTGAAGCCCATAGACATCTACAACGTAAATGCGCCACACACCTCGAGATATAAGTTCTAAGGTCTCAGTATAGTTACAGTATAGTCTCAGTATAGTTACTTAGATGTTTTGTTTGAAGCCTGAAGAAGTATCTAGTACAAATTTATGCGTCCGTCAATATAGTATTGTGGAAGTCACGACGCATACGGATGGTCGTGCTGCATACCAGGTTGGCTAGCGGAACATCCGATGTAACTGGACCGCACGTTCTAATAAAAGTGCAAATTAAAATTGATTGGATTGAATACTGCTAGTTTAGATATATCGTAGTATAGATTAAAGAAATGCGGGTTTTTCTAAAACTAATTTATAAAATACTCTGCTTCATCGTTTAAGTTTTAGCACAACAAATTTTATAAATTTCTTCGAAGGTTACTTGCAGTTTAACCACTCAAATCTCCACGTTACTTGAGGTTCGACTGAGGATTATGAGATTGTGGAAATTCCTAAAATACGAATAAGTTGTCTGACCTTTAATTTTACTAAAGGTTTTATGTAAATCAAATTTTGAAGCGGCTTTAAATGCTCTAACATAACTAGTTGATCGAAAATTTATGCACATAAACATGTTATTATTGAATTGTATCGTGTCAGTGACTAGAGGCAAGGTGGGGCTCACCGCAAATGGAGAAAGTAAAGGGCCCGCTTTGGTTTATTGGTGCTTTCTCTCGGCTTTAGTGACCCTAAGACGGGTTCATGCTTTACTAAATATTTAACAAGATTAGTTGGAAAGTAATGGCAGGTCAAGATTGGGTAAAATTATTTCCAGGGAATTAAATATTACGATCACAAACTTTATTTCCTTCCATTCTCAGTTTATGATTTCTATTTCTCTATGTATTTTTTTAATAAATCTGATATAATGAAACGGATACTCTTTGTAGATTTGTGGTTTGTATTAATTGCGATAATTGAAATTTTCTACTTACTTTAAGGGTTTCATAGTCCAGTTCATGTAAATTCGAGAAATGATCGTCTTTTATTAGACATACCAACGCTAGACACAACAAAATGTGGTCGAAAACCATTAGTTTTTATAAATCACCGCTCCATTTTGAATAAGTCGAAACGAACATAAATTTATATTCATCGCATTTGAAAACCATTTGTACAATGAAAAGTAGGTTTACAATTTTCTAATAAACCGTTACGTATCAATGTAGTACAATAAGGTGAAATAGTGACCCAGTTAAACAGTGAGGTCCTTCTATCAATACATATATTTTTATATTGCGTTGGGTCCGATAAAAAACAAAAGTTGATTTACTAGTTTTACAAGATAAGCGGGTCGCTGTGGATCGCTTGCGATTCGATCGACCTCGAGTATTTAAAAAATAAAAGTAACGACGACCCACAGATTTGACAGGTTTTATATTAATATTTTGTTAATAATTTTGATCGCTTGATTTCAATTGAAACTAAGAAATGAAAATAACCCCGACACGGAGTGGATGTACCGGCATCCCACTACCTGGCCTATAATCTACCTGCCTAACTGGGCAGGGATGTTCTCTGTATTGGTTGGTTGTTTGTAAGATGAATTGAGCTGGGAGAACTGAGTGGGTTGCTTGTAATGGCGGAGATTCTGCGGCGAAACAGAGAGAAATTATTTATATAGATTATTATAGATAGCCAAATTGAGGGTTCTACTATGATTTTATGACTAGAATTGTCGAATCTCATAACTAGGCAGAAAACAACGGAACTCTTATTATCTCTTGTGATACATCTGTCCGTATCTCACATGCTATGATGAACTTGTTAAAATGAAAAGCGAACAAAAAGGCAAATGTTTATCACTTGCTGCACACTGAGTGACAACTTCTCATAAAATTACAACACTATCCTTAATAGAAACAACTTTAAATGTCCTAACTATATATCTCGAACTACTAGATTGTGTATTTACTACTGTTACTATAAATAGTTGAGCGAATATTATCTTGCCAGACAAATGACGCAAACGTTACATTCGTCCTGAAATAGAACAGAATAGATGTTACAGACTGCCGTTATAATCTTGTATATCAAACAATATATGTAGAATAGGGATTTCTGTTTTCTTTCATTCACATCTTAATGCTCTGTTTCACAGTCTTTTCATACGTTCCATTATTACCAATCCTATACATATATATTTTTCTTTTTCAGGTAGAACACCCGTTCGTGATGATGCGATTATACGACAGTGTAAGATAGAAGCCGTATAGCCACGCAGTATGGGTGCGAATATGGGCAAAAACTCGAGCCTACTTGACGCGTTGCCTACCGCTCAGGGCACGCTCCACGTCGTCATGTTGGGCCTCGACTCCGCAGGGAAAACTACTGCACTATACAGACTCAAATTTGATCAATACTTAAACACCGTCCCCACTATTGGATTTAACTGCGAAAAGGTTAAAGGCACCATTGGAAAATCGAAGGGTGTGAACTTTCTAGTTTGGGATGTTGGCGGCCAGGAAAAACTAAGACCTCTTTGGAAATCGTACACACGTTGTACTGATGGTATAATTTTCGTATTAGACTCTGTCGACGTTGAACGAATGGAGGAAGCGAAAATGGAACTAATACGAACGGCAAAATCGCCAGATAATGCATGCGTGCCAATTCTAGTGTTAGCCAACAAACAAGATTTACCTGGGGCGAAAGAGCCTCGTGACCTCGAAAAGTTGCTTGGCCTGCACGAGCTGGTCTCTTCTCCGCATGGCTCACGTGACGCACATGCGTGGCACGTTCAGCCAGCTTGTGCCATTACAGGGGAAGGCTTACACGAAGGTCTGGAAGTGCTTTACGAAATGATACTCAAGAGACGAAAACTGGCAAAGCTACAGAAAAAGCGCGTCAAATAAACTCTGACTAGGTTGTTAACTATTACAACTAACGTGTATTAAGATTTTAGCAGTAAAATAACTGCAAATTATTATCGATACTCAGAATGGATGATCTTGTATCGTCCAAAGTTAAACACCAAATATTGTTTTACTGTAGATATAAAAAAACATCTTATGAATTATTCCATCATGGAGTTGCTCAACTATATTGAACATTGTTTTGTGAAACGAATTCTGTAAAATTAAGTTAAATATTAACTACTAGTCATTTTCGTTTGAAAATAACTAGGTGGAAACTAGTGGGCTTATTTTAAACACTTCATTTGTATTGACTAAAAATTGATAGTACTAATACTATTCATGCTTAGCTTTTTAGGCAAAAAAAAACACTAAAATATGCTTGTTTTCAATTATTGGCTCATTCACGACTAACGATGGGACCACAACTCTCGTTTAGTTATTCGGAAAATGAAACAGTTGCCGACTTAATATTGCTTTTATGGGGATTATTAAAGATAAACCAAAATGAATTGACTTAAAATACTTTGGACAACTATTATTCAACTAAAATGCTATTCGAATCCTACAATTAGCTTTTAGATCATAGCTAATCATTTCTTTAACAGTCTCACTGTAATAGGTACCATATCATTTAAATGTTTAAGTGACATTTGTTTGTGTGCTAAAAAATCGTATACTGTTTCAAAGAAGAAAACGTACTTCTGCTTCGCTGTTTTTAAGATAAAGTTCTTGTACATTCTGTAAATATGTTCATTGTCTTCGTTTTTCGTCAGAGTCTGGGTATTTTTCTTGCGCAGATATTTCTTAGTTCAATTGTACATTATGAACTCTGTTATATATATAAATTTTTTAAAAGAAAGACAAACGGAACATTTGTACGACTTTTTTATTTATTTATCGACATTAAAAACGATAAGTACAGATACGAATTAATGACAATTAAGAACGAGAATTGCCTGAAATCCTAAAATGACGTCACAGCGCAACGTCCACATTATACTCGATAAATTATTCAAACTTATTTTAAATTATACTCAATATTGCTTGAAATTTTTTTAGAAAGATACTTTTCTTTATTTAAAGAATACAGTTTGATATGATCTTCAATTATTAAATTGAAGACTTAATACCGAAATGAATCGATTGATGATAATGTTTTGTATTAAGTATTTATTTATATACTCTTAGAGACATAAAATTAGTGATTAAGTAAGTGTAAACACTATGTAATTATCAATGGATTATGCTTTTATCCTTTTGTGTTATTCATCCTGTAAATATGTAAATTCCAGTAGATATTCGTCAGTATCAGTACCATGAAACCAAACATTTTATGTGTAGTATTTGTAAATTTTGTTGTTAGAGCATTTATTTTAATTAAATAAATGTTATAATGGAATTATGTATTATATATTTATTACATTGTGTTTTATGAGTATACTTAGACGTTTTTCAAATCGACCCCGTAAATAAAATGTTTTCAATAAATGTGATTATGTGTTTGTTTATTTCGTGCCTACAATACCTCTTCAGTCTTTAGAAAAACTAAGGCTCTTCAAGTAAACAGCAGGGTCCTCATGTTCTGTCCAATCAGTAAATAGACATAAATATTCGCGTTCGGCTTCGGTTAACGAGCGACGATTAAGTTCCGCTACTGATTTTATCTTTTCAGATCTCTTCTTTGTTTTTTCGTTTCTATAAACTATAGGAAGTAACGACAATTTATTTTTACTATCGTATTTTGGTTCGAAGGCGCGCGTCAAATGTTTTTGTAATCGATTAAAAATTTGTAACTCTTGATTCGCTTCGTACGCTCTCTGCAACTTTTTCTTTTCTACCTCTTCACATCTCTGAATGGCATTTCTTATTGTAACATTACGAATGACATCTATCCGACTGCAATAGTTAAAATAACAATTCTCCAATGTTTTAGCAATTGCTATCATTTCTAAATTCAAAGGTTTTTCAGAGTAAACCTTTTCATAGCAAAAATCAAGACAAGACTTCAACTTTAGGACATGGAAGGCACCAACGTCGTCATAAAACGATTCATTCAAAACCTTAAAGAATTTAATTTCTAATTGCGAACACCGTTCTTCGTTGAAAAGTAGAAGACTATTAAATTTTTCTATAGTCGAAGCAACAGACTCTGTATCCTGCCTCATCAATTGTTTTAATTCAACGATGCGTTCCTGCAGAAGCTTTATGAATGGTTGTAATTGAAAAATGTAATTGAATATATGTAGTTGCCTTTTCTTTATATCGTCAAATATCTTTATCAAGTCACCTGCTTGACTAAAATACAAAACCGGTTTCGTATAATTGTTATAACAATTATTTCTGATTTTTTCGTAAATGGTGTCAAAGTTATCTTTTTCGTTGGATATACCGAAATCAAAACCTTTTGTTTCAATATCGACAGATCGTGCAAATTGACGATTTTCCAACCGCCAAGTAGGAGAGGACAGATAATACAAAAATCTTCCGTATTTCAATTGAAGACCGTACATATACTCCAGATTTAACAATGTCGACATCATAGTGAAATTTTCCATTGCTGAATTTTGTAATTCTTGTACTTTTTCATTTACTTTTCTCGCTATTTCATCACACTGGCTTAAATAAGCCATGGATTTTTGGTAATCTTTAGCAATGAAAGTATCAAAGTTCTTAACTACATCTTTGTACTTTTTCAAAGCAAACTCGTACGTTTTAACTTCGTTTCTACAATTTACTTCAATATTAAAAATACTGTCTTTCCTAAAACTAATATCTTGTTTAAGCCTTGATTGGTCGTTTAGCATATATTTGAGAGACTTGTAATGATGCGTGTATTTACAGATTCTTTCGTGTTTTATATTCGTGAAATAATCTTTATCGAAATCTGTAACAGTTCGGATCTCGTTTGATGGGCTGTGCACATAACACCGTTTCTTCAAGTCGATGCTCAAATTTTTATACTTTTCAAAAATGTTTGAGTTAAAATTTTCACGGCGTTTTTCGTGTTCTTGTTTCTTTAAATAATACTTGTAAGGTAATAATATATCTGCTCTTTTTAAATGTGCTGCTCTTAATGGTTGAATTTCTGGTAAAGCACATTTCCTCGACATAGAATTTGAGTGATTTAAACTTACATTTTTTTTTTGCATGTTTTTCTTTTCTCTTTTCAGACTCCTCTCAAATAGTTTCACAAAGATTTTTCTTGGCTTTGGTATTTCAATTCTAACAGAATGCTGACTTCTAGTACTCATCACGATTCAATTACTATCGTACAATTTGTTAATGTAAAATATAAAATAGCAAATAATAGAAACCACCTCGATTTATTAGTCACGTCATACAAAACATTCTACAGTTTATATATTTTTATAAGATTTATAAAAGAGATATAAACAAAATATTTCTATTAAAAACATATTCTAATAGATATCAAGGGAAAACGGAAGAACGAGGTACCCATTCTAAGGCCGGCTTAATAAATTTGTAATATTCAGCTAAATATGGGGCTGGATTCAAACCTTCACACCATTCCGTAAAAAACAGTAAACCCTCTTTTTCTTCAGGTGACAACTTGTATTTTTTCTTTTTATTACATTCCCCGGTTTCCAATTGGTATTTTTTCTTTTCAGCGATCAATAACGCTAACCTAGTCTTTTTATCCAAAAACTTTTTGAGAACCGGTCTGGTGTATTTACGCGGTTCTAAAAATGCTTTGTTCATAGCACTTTTCATTTCCCAAAAAGACCTTAATTCTCTTTGAGCTTTATACGCATTTTTCATAATCTTCAAATCTTGACTGNTACATTCCCCGGTTTCCAATTGGTATTTTTTCTTTTCAGCGATCAATAACGCTAACCTAGTCTTTTTATCCAAAAACTTTTTGAGAACCGGTCTGGTGTATTTACGCGGTTCTAAAAATGCTTTGTTCATAGCACTTTTCATTTCCCAAAAAGACCTTAATTCTCTTTGAGCTTTATACGCATTTTTCATAATCTTCAAATCTTGACTGAAAAAGTCACTACGGGCCGTATTCACTATTTTAAAATCTAAGGAGTCCAGGCGTAAATTGTAATCTTCATACATTACTTCTAAAATCTTCATGGGATCATGTAGACTCTGATGGCCTTCCTCGCATTTACCAAATATTTCTTCGTAAACATACTCAACACAAATTTTAAGTTTTAGTGTACTAGGACTGGCGACGTTTTCGAAAAAAGTTTCATTTAATATTCGAAAAAACTTGTCTTGTAAGTAGGTTTCGTTATACCTTTCCCTTTCGATTTCCTTATTAATGCTATCGATGTAGAACTGAAAATAATCTAATTCCTGTTTAGTAGCTTGTTTTAATTGCTTCATACGTTCTTGTAACAATCGATTAGGGGCATCGGTTTTTGATAACTGTGTCAAATATTCTCTACTTTGTATCTCCATTGTTCTAAACAAGTACTTTAATTCCTCGGGTTTTTTAAAGTACAATGTTGCTGGCTGTGGATTACTAAGTTCATTTTTAGCAAATTCAATCATTTTATCAATATCCAGCGATTCAACTAAATCGTTATCAGTAACGAATATTCCAGACTCAAACTGTATTGACTGTATTTTACCTCTCAAATTTTCATCGTTTTGTTGCCGCCATGAGATCGGGGCGATAAAAATTAAGAAACTTCTGTAAACTTTTAAGACACTTCGAATAGCGTCTAGTTTAAATAGAACGTTACTCAATATTGTCAGTGAGGATATGTAAGCAAGAAACTCTGAGTTTTTTGATAGCAAATCACTATAAACTTTCTCAGCTTTGGATACTTTGTTGCAAGCATTTTTATAATCTTCAGTCAAAAACTTTTCAAAGTTCTTAATGTGCTCTTTCAATTTTTCTACTATACGCTCGTACTGTACAGTTTCTTCCACAGCATTTTCTTGTATTTTCATGACTAAGTCACGTCGATATCCTATTTGTTGTCGATTCATAGCATAAGCCCGAATATTATTGACGTAGACTTTAATATCGTCTAAGCATCGCGTAGGACGACCTTCAATAACTTTGTAGAACTCAGGATGTATCTCAACTACAGCTCTAACATCATCGAGGGGTTCGGGTATGAAGAGTCTTCTTGATATATCTCTAGATGCTGCTATTTTCAAATTATCTTTAAAACGCACCGGCAATTTCAGTCTATGCAGAGCATTTAATTTTTCTTTCCGCTCACTATATTTTATATATGACAATAGTTTTTCTGAACGCGGCACTCGGAAGGGCCGACTACGGTCAGGCCTTTCTTTGACTTCATTAAGGGCATGTTTTCTATTAGCAAAGTAATATTGCGTATTGGGTACGTACCGTCTTCTGAATATAACATCCAAATTTTTAACGGGTACCATTGGTTTTCGTTCTTTTTCCAGGCAAGACATGTTTTATTACGAAAACAAGTTTTGATATAACAAAATTGAGTACAAAGATTATTAAAAAATAATAAACACGTAAGCTAACAAAAACTGTGTAGATCCATATTCAGTTTACAAAATCGATTTAACATTGACAGGTGACATTACTTTCTTCTTTGTTCATTCAAGAAATAAAAAGTATTCGCGTTTCTTCTTCCCGGATATGGACACAATGTTCGTGGTCAACGTGATGCTAAACCATACTCTTTGTACTACTAACTCATATTACGAGATCAGTGTGCTTAGTGTGAGTTTTTTAACGTTCTCGATAGCGTAAAAGTTAACTCATATTTATATGAAATGGGATCGTTTGCGTACATTTGCCGCTAGAGGCGCTGTTCCAACTGCATACAAAATTAGGTTAACTTTTACGCTATCGAGAACGTTAAGAAACTCGCACTAAGCACACTGTTTTCAGCAGTCACGTAACATTATATTTGTTTTACGTGCAAACAAAAACAGTATTTTAATCAAACCTATAAAATGTTGTCTAAAGGAATATACTTCACCTAAAGTTTGAAGGATTTCCTAATGCCGATTTATACACAGTTTGGCCTGTTACCAAAACAAAAATCAATATTATCACACTTGAAATTAAAACTTTAATTTTAAATAAATATTGAATATTTCCATATATATATTAAAGTAATAATTTGAAAAAATCCTGTTCGATAGTAAAGATTTATGAAAGCACCCTTAGCCGTGTCGCGCATTTTAAAAGATTACTTAAAACTTGCAGCAAGCTTAAGAGAGTCGCACTAGCCTTGACTTAACCGACCGCTTAAAAATAAATTTGGTAGTTCTTTTGATTTTAAGATCCTATTCAGACGATACGCAAGGGAAAGTCACAAAAATAATTAATTGAACAAGTTTTTTTTAGGTTTAATTAAGCAGCATGACCAGGCTTATACTCAAAGTCCAACAGTAGATTGTCAATGAGTAGGTACATCTTCGGTATGATTTGGCTTCAGTGGTGGTTTATCATGGTTTATCACATTACAAGAATGGTATTGCAGCAAGATTCATCATCGGGCCATAAAACTGGAACCACACACACAGGCGTGGCTAAAAAGGAAACTTTCTGTTTTTTTTATATCATTTTATGGTTGGACGAGCTCACGGCTCACCTGGTGTTAAGTGCTAACCGGAGCCCATAGACATCTAAAACATAAATGCCGCCACCCACCTCGACACATGAGTTGTAAGGTCTCAGTTTTAACAATACAACGACTGCCCCGCCCTTCAAACCGAAACGCATTACTGCTTCACGGCAGAAATAGGTCAGGTGGTGGTAACCTACCCGTGCGGACTCACAAGACATCCTACAACCATCATCCTACTACTCTACTTTAGTACGGCATGCTCTAAACACCATAAGTTGGAGGGGCGAATTTTCCCATGGAAATGGGGGTATTACCAAGTTAATTTTTAAACCAACATGCAAAAAAAAAACAATATATTATTGTACTGACGATGCTCAGCACTAATGTATAGAGTTAAAGTTAAATTCACGTGTCTTAATAGTATTACGATTTAATTAAAATTATTGTTTCTAGACGGTTCGTAAGACGACTTGAGTCGTTTGCTAAGCTTGTCGACATCCTTCAATAACTTAGCTGCGTGTTTTGCCTGTTTCAATTCTTCAACTCCGTTCTCATATGTTTCTTTTTCTATCCGTTTAATAACATCTAGATCAAATGTCGAAATATCCAACATCAAATTATCATATTCTCTCTCCAATGCTAAGGTCATGTCCAATGAGGTGAGTTTAGTATCATTCGGTGCAATAAGACGTTCGTAAGCAAATTCAACATAATTATATAATTGTAACACTATCTCAGATGTAATTAGATGCCTTAATCTTTCCTCCAATATTTTGTAAAAAGCTTCTTTTACCTCAATCTCTCGTAACTCATTTTTTCTGATTAAGTTTTCCATTTCATTAATCTGTATAAATTAATAAATTGTAAATGAATTATATACACAAAAATTCAACACAAAAATCTACTGGCAACAGGGCGTTCGTAAATTCCACAGTCCACCTATAAGCTAATATTCATTTTTAATCTATGCAAATCAATAAATCTGTGTGAAATCTATAGAAATACTATTAAATTTTTTCGCAATACATTTTTAGAATAAATAGCCGTTATTTTCAATGTTCTCGTGAAATGAGAAATATAGCTCGCATTGTGATCGTCGTAACAGAAAATTTATTAATAGTTACAGTAGTAGAACACCAGGTGGATCCCGAGATCGTATACCGGGTACGCCATTGAAATCGACAAATTATTTATAATGCTTTAAAGGTATAATTTAAGTCTTCTAAAGGATCAGAAGTACTTGTATCGAGCGATGCGTTTGTGTTGGTGTTCAAACACCCCAAACATGTACCAATTAATTTGTCTAATAAGATATGTATTTTACTTAACATTACTGGTGGTAGGACCTCTTGTGAATCCGCACGGGTAGGTACCACCACCCCGCCTATTTCTGCCGTGAAGCAGCAATGCGTTTCGATTTGAAGGGTGGGGTAGCCGTTGTAACTATACTGAGACCTTAGAACTTATATCTCAAGCTGGGTGGCGCATTTACGTTGTAGATGTCTATGCGCTCCAGTGAACACTTAACACCAGGTGGGCTGTGAGCTCGTCTACCCATCTACGCAATACAAAAACAAAAAAAAAAAAGATGTTCACGAATGACTTCGACGATGAAGGAATAACATCGTGTTATAAAAATTAATCCTTTAAAAAAATTAAAAAATTAAAAATGCGTATGAACCTCAACCATCAATCATCATCGCGGTTCACAGTCTAAGCAATACAAAAAATCTAAATAAACTTACCTTTTGCTCAATATAATCTAATTCTTGTCGAAGTAAATGTTTTAATAAGTCTAAAGCTTTTAAAAATTTATTCTTCTGAGAATTCAGTTCTTCAGTAACTAATAAATAATTTAAATTTTGTTTCTCCAACATATAAAATACATTGAGCAACTGTTCAGGATTTTCGAAATACAGTTGCGGAGGAGGTAGCTTAGTCAATATTTTTTTAACAGCATTCACATTTATTTTTTGAAATATGTCCGTGTCTAAGAAAAATATTTCTGAGTACTTAGTATCTATTACAACATTGTGATTTTCTTGCCAAAGAATCGGAGAAGCTTTGTTGAGAAAATTTTGGAAAGATAACAAAATTAATAGACTCTCGTCTGTATACTGCAGCTTAGACTTCAGTGATGCCATCTCATAATTCATCTTCTTATATTCTTCTGTTTGATTTACCAACTCTCTTGATAGACCGTCTGATTTCTTCATCACTGTGATTGTTTTGTTGTTGTCATCAGCTAAAAATTTATCAAAACTATTCTGGTACTCCTCAAAATGTTTCGTTGCAGTTTCATAAACGATTCTTTCCATTCCAATTTCTCTTTCGACTCTCATAACCTCATCTACAATAAAGCCATGAAGTGTTCTTTTCAATGCACCATTTTTTATGTTTTGCTTGTACATATTAATACAAGTATTAGGTCTAACAGGCCTTCCCTCAACCAAGGAGTAGAACAAAGGATCAATGTTTATGTTTGTTTTGATTTCATTAGAACCCATTGCTTCAATAGGCGGCAGCTTAATACCGAAAACGGTCGTCATAGTTTCCTTTCTAGGTTTTTTCTTGTATTTCACTCTGTACATGACTGCAGCGGATTTTCTATTCCTCTATTACACCACTTTGAACATAATTCAAAGCGTAAATCAATATTACCATGGCAACTACCGATTAGCTAACCCATTATGTTTATTAATAAGAACTAAAAAGAATCAGTAGTTAAATATATTAGTAAAATCAGTTATCAAATATTTTGATATTCAGTAGCTGTTTCTGCGATTTTTTTATATATTATAAATCACTATGTTATTCACTAAATAAATCTTTGTACGTTTATGCCAACATCACACATATTGAAGGCAACATTCAACAAAATTGTATTAATAAAAAAAACAAGAGACGTACCTTAAATTAAGAAATGATACAAAAAAATGCTTCTTTGGTTTTTAATTAACTGTATTTTGTGAAATAATTCTCAGGTCATGATCATAATAATTAATGTATAAGGACCGTATGGTACGTAACAAAGATGAAAGAACATTCAACATGTACCTACATTTTTTTGAGTCACGTCATATTTTACAAGTGCCGTGCCGTAATCAGAACTTCAATCACTTGAGGAACTTCCGCTTTGCGGTTCTTCTCTATCTTCGTCTTCTGTTTCCTTCTTAACTATCTCCCAAGGCATTACCGGCAAAGGTTCGACGAACGAGTCGTCTACCTTTAACTTGTACAGAAGACGAGGTGTAAAATGTGTCGGTAGGGGCCATACACTCTCTGGAAATTGACATCAATCGTTAATCTAAGTTAACAAGAGCAACGAATTAAATTCTGACAAAAATCTTCCACTTAGATCATCTAAATTCTCGTGATTCGTACTGTAATTTCTAAAATGTTATTACTTAAAAGAAACGTGGGTTAAGGCCTTGGTCTGAGTACTCGGGTATTACTGTCCTTGTTGTCTTTCTATTTTTAATTTTTTATTATTATTTATAGTATTGTTAAATCTCTATTAATATGTTAATGTAATGCATGCTGTGATTGCCTATAATTAGAGTTGCAGTTATCAATTGCTCTAAACATGTCAATGTTATTTTATGTCTTACTGTAAACCCTGTCGGTAATCCTTAAATAAATAAATAAATTACTTTTAACAGCATGGGTAATGAAATTATTGACACTTTGATTCCATCCTAAGCTATCACAAAATACAAAGCCGCCGTCGCCCGAAAGATTTCTCGGGATCTCTATCGGGTTCCCCGGATTCACTCCCGGTGCTTTTAGGACGCTCAAACACCGGTCATCGTCCTCATCGAACTCGTCAAAGAGTTCGAAGAGCGAACTAACCCATAGACGCAGCCCACTAAGTTGCTAGCCGGATCTTCTCAGTGGGTCGCGATTCCAATCCAGTGATAGATTCTGCGGTTCACTGCTCTTATTAGAGCTAGTGTTAGCAAATTCTCTCAGGTTGCACCCCTGAGCTCACCTACCCGTCTAGGAGTAGCTTGAATAGCCTCTTAGGCTACCAGTGAAAAGGTAGGAAAAAGAAAAGAAAAAAAATACATACCAGCTTACTGTCGATTCGTATATGTGACTATATACTTCGCGAACTATACAAAAAAGATTTTTTTATTGAAAATATAATTACCAAAATAAAACTGATGGTCATCAACCCTTCTATGCAAATCGTAGGTTTGTCTGAGGTCTCGAATATAAGAAGACTGCAGTAAAAAGTCTAAAAGCGCTGCTTCGGGTAAAGATTCAATTCTAGGATCCACAGCATTGAGACCCTCGAATGATAACTGCGAGGTGAAGTTTATTTTAATCGAATAATTATCAGGTTTTTACTTAACCTACTTTTTTAATTTGAAATGCTTTTAAAATATCAGATTTTCACAATATAAGACAAACTTCTGCAGGATTCATAAATTTCTTAAATGACTTCTAAGTTTCTATACAAATAAACGGTACAAATATTTAAACTCAACCTTTTCATCAGCCTTCAAAAGATCACATAATTTTGTGATTTTATTGAGGCAAATCTTCAATTGTTCCATGTGCTCTGAAATTGGTCCGTTTACGTCCAATCTGCCAACTAAAGATGGCGGGTGGGCGGTTAGTGCTCGCCACCGTGCGAAAAACAGCTGAGAAATAAATATTACTTTTCATATTACACATAAACACCATTTAGTTTACAGAGTGAATATTAAGGTGGAACAAAAAAAAAACTTTTTTTTCTTTACTTTAGGTACTACGAAAATATCGTCCAAAATGACGAAAAAAAAATCTGGTAAAGTTTGAGCTCTTAATATTATTATTATTCGTTGAGATACAATAAAATACTAAAGAAAAAATAATCCCGTGTTATTTAAATGGAAAATCAAAAATCACGATGCGGCACCTCTATACATTATTATTAAAAGTTTTTTTGGCCCACCCTAATGAATATGCTTATACCGTGCTGATCGAATGATAAACCATTAACATTTTCAGCCTCCTGAATATCTTCGGTTCTGATTTATCTTTGTTCTCCAAAAGGACTGCACGGTCCGTTTCCGTGGATTTTTTCATTCTCTCAATCCAGTCAATTTCTAACTTAAATAAAAATCTCAAGTGTCTGTGTAATGTGTCCTCAGAGCCCTGTTGAAAATATCAACTAAATTCCTTAAGCTTAGACATATCCGATTCGATACCTTCAACAAATCAGGGTTTAATAGTAATTTTTATTATTGCATTATGTTCACGGGCTCCGACAATCACCCAACACCGACTGGGCCCATGTACTGCAATAAAAATTAAGTTTTTTATTCCAAAATCTCCCGTTTGTTCTGTCATTCTATAAACCCTGTTATATCTTATTTCGCTATAAACATTTGTGCCTTGCGGATTAAACTCGCATTTGTACCTACCTACTTTTTTCACTACCTAACCGACTCCAAAGATGGAGAAAATACTGTGATCGACTTTATGTATGTTCACCGATATGTCATTTATGGTCATTTTGAAAAAAAAAATTAATGTAAACACTTGAGTTGGTCCCATTGCTAAGTTTAAATGTTTAACTCTTGAAAACCCTTTTTATTATTATTAATTATGTGTAAATTTATTAATACTTCTTCTGTACATAAATATGAAAACATTACCTCTAAAATATGTACAAAATAACTATCGTACACCAATAACAGTCCGTATACGTGGATTTCACAATAAGCAGAGTTTACATCATGTACAGATTTCTCGAACGCTCTTATTATTTCTTCCTTAGATAATGTATGTTCACCTATATATATCATACGAATAGCGTATGTTTTCTGAAAAAGAAACATTTCGGTAACATCATTAACATCATTAACATCGGTAAGAAATGATGTTACCGAAAAGACGAAGACGACAGTAAACTTTTAATAACATGCAACTTAGTATCAAATAAGTGTTACCTTCAAAGCAGTCATTACTACCTACTATAATTTACTGCATCATCTGAATGAACTAGATCACTCATCATCAATAGAGAAAAATGTGTAAAACATAATTTCAATACTTATCACACGGTACTCAAGTAATTCAGCGACATGTGAAAAGTTCGCATTTGGATTAAATTCCAGCAAATGTCCTACATATAGAAAATCAGTTGGATACTGGAGAGCACGGTCATTAACTTCACGCATTTTAGTTAATATAGAATTACTTTTAAGGTTTCCGTCACTTATGAAATTTAATTAGTAGGTAGTGAAAAAATCTAGGTACTAACTAAACCAAGTTTCTGAAAATTTTCCTCTACTACATCCAAAACAGATCGAACGTCAAGATCGGGCAAAGCCATTTCCTAAAATGGTTTGTTTATAGAACTCATATCATTTCATTATTTTCCGTATTACACTTTTTTCGTTCAGCTTAAATTTCAGACATACGTCAAAATAAGATACTTCAAGAAAAAACAACAAAATAATCACTGCGTTACGATGTTTACATCCAATTACGTCAGTTTGTTGTCATGGTAATGGTCACGCCATAATGACGCTCTACCGTACTAGATCTAGGTACTCTGGTATAGGATTTGATATTAGGTACTCTCAGGGTAGGTTTTCTGTTTCTTTTTTTCCAAAATTCAAAGTGTTCTGTAATTAAGAGTTGGTTTCCTATCGATAAGATAACCAAAGAAAAGTTTGCATTATAAGAATTTGATATTTATTAGTTTTTTCTAAGTTCTCTAAATGTTTATGGAATTATTGAAAAAATGTTTATAATGGTCCTTATTTGACAAACATTTGTGCTATGCAACAAATGCAACATTTAAACCATTCCCCTTTTTATTGTGGCTGTTCTTTGATTTAATATTGAATTGAAATATGTAAAAAGCTTCAGTAGGCCACCGCATTAAAAATTTATTGGATCATATTCCACACTACACTATACATAAGTTCCACTCTGGTATTCGTAAAGTGAATTAATCTTTTACCTATATTTGGTTATATATTATATATAGCGGTAGGCAGCGGCTTGGCGCTGCCCCTGGCATTGCTGAAGTCCATGGGCGACGGTAACCACTCACTATCAGGTGGGCCGTGCGCTCGTCTGCCTACAAGGGCAATAAAAAATAAATAATAATATGGTAGGCAGCGCTTGGCTCTGCCTCTAGCATTGCTGACGTCCATCAGTGACGGTAACCCTCACCATCAGGTGGGCCGTATGCTCGTCTGCCTGCACGGGCAATAAAAAAATATACAACGATAATGGATTTAAAAAAATAACAATCGGCTACACAACTATTTATTATCACATTAGTAAAATTAAACAAGATATTGAACACTACTTAATATAGCTGTAACTGCAAGGAAATTACATAACTTAGTAATATCTATCATTTCTAAATCTGTTCCATCTTTTACTCGCATTATTACTAAAATTGTACGGCTTCTGGAAGCTTTTCTTTTTGTAAAATTTTTCAGTGGATTTCGTGATGTCAAACGAGCGAGCCAAGTCATACAATTCTTGGGGGATATCCTGAAAATTAACAAAAGATGTTACAGTAATATTATTTGTAATAGTTTACAGATTATTCTGCGAATTAGATACTCTTACACAGTTAATGACTACATAAATTACGAAACCGCTTAGTTTTTTGAAGTCATACTTCTTTAGGCGCGTTTTGTAAAATTGATGAGAGTGAAACTTTACGATGCGCGAATCATGAACATTTGTTGAGTACGTATTTCATTAGAAAAATTGATACCCGCTTGCGGGATTCGAACACCGGTGCATCGCTAGACTCGAATGCACCGGACGCCTTATCCTTTAGGCCACGACGACTACAAACTATACTGACTATACTGAGACCTTAGAACTTATATCTCAAGGTGTGTGGCGCATTTACGTTGTAGATGTCTATGGGCTCCAGTAACCACTTAACACCAGGTGGGCTGTGAGCTCGTCCATCCATCTAAGAAATAAAAAATAAAAAAAAACAACGGTTGCCCTACCCTTCATACCGAAACGCATTACCTACCCGTGCGGACTCACAAGAGGTCCTACCACCAGTAATTACGCAAATTATAATTTAAATTTGTAATTTAAAGTTGTACTCCACACAGCTACAACCAGCACAAACTGATCTAAAGATCACTGACTAAAGTCAGTGCTTATCTAATTAAACATATCTTCCAGTAGTTGTACAATAAAAATATTTTGTGTGTTGTTGCAATTTGGGGCTGATAGAGAGATAGAGATTTGGAATAGCGAAAGCAATGAGTTTGTCGCCAATTATTCTTCTCTCAAGTTACGACGATGATGGCATTTTTAATAACGACGACAATTTTAAATTAGTAAAATGACGATTTAAAATTGTCTGTAAAACTTAGTAGAATAAAAATAATTCCCACTTTATTTAATTTGACTTATAGTAATGTCAAAAAAATCATTCGTTTATATATATAATTATCAGTACAATAATGCTTTAGGTATATACCCATAGCTATGATTGATGACAAAAATACATACCTGTTTAGCTTCTTTCAAAACTTCTATTAAATCCTTTGCCTGTCTTGCATTTTCTTCAGTGAGTATAGAATGAGATATGCCCTTGTTATCTTGACGCCCTGTCCTACCTATTCTGTGAATATAATCTTCAGATGTATTGGGATAGTCATAGTTTACTACGTGTGTCACTCCATCAACATCTGAAAAGAGAAAAATATGATTATGTTTCTGACTAAAGCTTGATATGATTGATACCTTTTGTGATGATAGGGTCTGAAAAAAAAACCATCCTATTACAATGTTTTATTAGCATTATTTACACTCCATCATTTTAGTACAGCTAAATAAAACAATAATTTCGAAATATACTATTGTTTTTTATTTTATTAGTGGGAGCCTGTCTCAAACAATACTGATATGTATATAAGATAGGTCACTGATATTACTCACCAAGACCTCTAGCTGCAACATCTGTAGCTACTAGAATATTAGTCTTTCCAGTTTTAAATTTGTTGATGATCATATCTCTCTGGAGTTGTGTTCTATCCCCATGAATACCTAGAGCTGGCCATCCATTTCCCCGAAGCACTCTCTCAAGATAGTCCACAGATTTCTTAGTGTTTGTAAATACTAATGTTTTACCAAAACCTAAACCAGATATTTTATGCATTATCTCTGTAAACCTAGAATTAATGAAAGAAATTTAACAATAATTGTAACCAGAAGTTTAGCAATAAACAATAATTAACTCCAATATTAACTCACTTCTCGGCTTTTTCGTCTTGTTCACATACATGGACAATTTGTTGTATGTTGCGGTTGGCAGACAACTCAGTAGAACCAACATTGACCTGGACAAATTCACCTAAATAATCTTTTGCAAGAGTGCGGACTTCCTTTGGCCATGTTGCTGAGAACATCAGGATTTGCCTCTCTAGTGGTACTCCTTCTAAAGCTTGACGTATCTGAGGTTCAAAACCCATATCCAGCATTCGGTCCGCTTCATCTAGCACCACATATGTACACCTGCTTAATGTTGTTGTCTTAGTAATAAGAAAATCATTCAGTCTTCCTGGAGTTGCAATTACTATGTCAACTCCAGCTTGTAACTGTGCTGCTTGTTTACTTCTATTTGCTCCACCGTAAATACAAGCACAACGTATACCTAATTGCTCATTAAAATCCTGTGCCACCTGCTCTATTTGTCTTGCCAATTCCCTGGTTGGGGCANTACACCTGCTTAATGTTGTTGTCTTAGTAATAAGAAAATCATTCAGTCTTCCTGGAGTTGCAATTACTATGTCAACTCCAGCTTGTAACTGTGCTGCTTGTTTACTTCTATTTGCTCCACCGTAAATACAAGCACAACGTATACCTAATTGCTCATTAAAATCCTGTGCCACCTGCTCTATTTGTCTTGCCAATTCCCTGGTTGGGGCAAGAACCAGAACAATTGGTCCTCGCCCCTTTTTTGCTTTATTTTCTTTAATATGAACAACAGCTGGTAAAAGAAAAGCCAATGTTTTTCCGGTACCTGTTTGTGCTATACCCACAAAGTTTTTACCACTCAAAGCTATTGGCCATCCCTGTGACTGTATCACAGTTGGTTTTGTGATACCTTGCATCTTCAAAAATGTTTTTATATATTCAGGAAATCCACTGGCTTCTATGTCAACAAAAGGACTGGGTATATCTTGACCAATAACAGTAATGCTATTATCGCTTCTGTAATCATCATCTTCCTTTTTCTGCTCAGTTTTTACAGAATAAAATCTTAAGCTTTGTATCTCTCGTAGTTTTGTACCTTTTAATATTTGATTGTGCAATATTGAATATTGAACCTTGGGAATAATGTGAGTGTGAAATACATTTGTTTCTAGTATTTGTCGTTTGTAAGGTAATCTGAAATAACAAATGTTCACAACATATTATTACAAGTTAGGGTTCTAGACAAAATAGTGGGCAGGTTATTCTAAAAAAAATGTTTCTAAATTTACATCATTGGCTTAATTTAAAAATAGTACTTTAAATGCCTCATTATAAATAGTATTATTTTGTTTTTGGTATTTTTTGGTTTGTAGTTTGTACTTATGTTTGCTTTTTGCAAACTGTTTGTAAGCCTTGGCCAAGGACATTATTATTACAGTCAAAACCGTTTACTTCGACATCGTTTAGAACAACATACCGGTTATAATAACCTAAAACAAAGGTCCCGGCTGAATGCTATATGACCGCCTTATCAAAAACATTGCTTTATATGACATTGCTAATAATGACACCTCATAAAACGACCACATTTAATTAATATTTCGGAGAATTAGATCTGTTAGAACAACTGGCTAAGCTGTATTGTAAACAATTTGAATAGGTATCCACATTTGTCTTCAATGGCTATTAAGCTATTAAAATCAAGAAAGAAAACACGTGCATGCAGTAGAGTCAAAGCCCGCTTCGTCGTATCTTTTCAGTTAGTTTGTTACTTATATATACACAAGACGCACCAAAACTTTGTGGAGTTATTCCTGAAACTTTCAAAATGTCTCAAAAAATGAGAAAACAAATTAATATTGAAGAAAAATTGCATATTATGTAAATATATTTTTCAAAAATTCCCTATCTATTTGTTTGTACTTGCACGATACACATTAAACATCACCGGTTGTTACGACTATCGGTTTTTACGACTGAATATGAGCAGTCCCTTCGATGTCGTTATAACAGATTTTGACTGTATATTCGTCATAATTTAATTTGAAATAGATAATTTTTATCTTTCTTCATTGCATATTATAGTCTAATCAGTTAAAAAAAAGCATATTAAAAATGATTAAGGTTAAGATGAAATTGTAAGAATTAATTATTAGTCATGATTATGTATGAGGCTTCTTCATAAAAAAGGCTGTTATTTTGATTTATAATCCTATTATCCATATATAATTTTTAACCGTAGGATTTCATCAACTTCATCATCATCATCAACATATAATGATTTCATCATAAGTGCTTACAAGACTGTTGTTGTATGTAGAGAATCAGAAAAAATTAAACAAAAAATGCAGATAAAAACAAGCTTGCAAATAGTATCTACATGTTCACAATTAGGTGGCTTCATCGCATGCAAGTCTAATTGTTTTGTATCTAAATCTAATTTCATGACCAGCAATTCCACAGGCACAGCTTAACCAAGCCTAACACTAAATAACCCAAAACAAGATTATCATTCTTACAATTTAATTATTATGGTATATTATCATTAATTAGTTTTGTATGGTACTGTTTCACTGTTCAGAGTTGGTAAATCGCGACGCAAATTAAATTTGAAAGTACATCGGGTGCCGACTCGCATATATCTAATTAGTAATTTTTTCTTGACTTATAGTTATGAGGTTATGTCACATTGGGTTAGGTTAAAATAAAAAATATTTAGTACTTACAATTTGGACAACTCCTTTCGTTTTAATAACCTTGTGAGCACATTTAAAGCCATTTTCAATTTATTTTTGTTTTTAACCAGGACACGCGATGAGCTATTTCAATGAAGAAGTTTAAATACGAATAGATAAAAACACATTTCCTTGCATTCATATGTAACGCAAGCGGTTGAATATGTAGTTCTGTACTGCTATATCTTTATGGTACCTATGCTATTAAACCACTTGTATCAAATTTATAATTTTGCTTTTAGTTCATAGGTAATATGTGCGTACACTGTACACAATTTTTCTTTACTTCATTAAATTCAGACTTCGGACTATTTTTTTTTTAGGGATTTTATGATCTGGTAACAGAGACCTTTAAGTCATGTCTTATTTTTATGAAAAATGATAATATGGGGTTGTGGCGTTTAAGTACCATGACATGGGGTAAATTGGGATCCTGGGGTAAATTGGGACAAACCTGCGGAAGATTCTCAAAGTACCTGTAGCACGGAATCTACCTAATTTTGTTTATGTTAATATTTATCAATGTATAGAAGAAAAACCAAGTTAACTATGGAAGTACTAAATATGAGTTAAGATGGTCCCAAAAATTCGTCAAATTAAATTGAAAATAGTGGTTGAAAAGCGCGGTAGAAATAGGACCCGGGATTTCTCAAACCAACGACGACGCTCACAAACACCTGGTAAGCTTCAAATGTGCTTTTACCATAGGAAATTTAATACTAAAGCTGTTAAGTGTATTCAACCATGTACCTGGACGCCCCCACCACCTTCGGAAAACGACAAAAGCAGTCAATGATGGCGACGTCTGACTGCTTAAAGGAGAGTCGCCGATTATTTGTCACCGAAAGCGCAACCAAGCGCCGTTTTTTAATAGACACAGGCTCCGACCTCTCCTGTTATCCATATCAGTGGTTAGCAAATAAGCCGATACGTTCAAACTATACGTTAGCGGCTGCCAACGGTAGTGAGATACGCACTTTTGGTCACATAGAAATGGCGCTTAATTTAGGGCTACGCCAAACATTTCAATGGCGATTTATTATAGCTGACGTCAACACCGCTATCATCGGCTCCGATTTTCTGGCGCACTATCGGTTGTTGCCAGATTGTGCCAGTAAGAGACTCGTCGATAGCATTACCGGGTTGTCATATGTTGCTGCCGTCGCTGTTTTAGACCAGACCAGCGTCAAAGTTGTCTGCGCTCCGCCATCCCAATTTAGTGCACTTCTTGCGGAATTTCCGTTGATTACCAAACCACCAGGACTTATTCGTGACCCGAAGCATAACACAGTTCATTATATTCTAACCACTGAGGGCGCCCCAGTCTCTTGTCGTCCTAGACGTCTGGCACCTCAAAAACTTCAAGAGGCCAAAAAGGTTTTTGATGATATGGTACAGTGCGGGACAGCCAGACCTTCGAAAAGTTCGTGGTCTTCTCCATTTCATATGGTCCCTAAGCGCGACGGCACCTGGCGACCCTGCGGCGATTATCGTGCGTTGAATTCACGTACCATACCCGACAGGTACCCAGTTCGCTTTTGAAATGAAATGAAATGATTAATTTGGGTCATTAATCAACTGGGATGAAACTAAATGAAAAGAGATGACGGTGGTCATTTACAGAGATTTTTTCAGTAGACTTTTTGGAGGATCCCGAGAAGCTATCTGCAGCAGTTTTATTTCATTTTCCCACATTAGTGCACTTTCACTGAATATGAAACACTTAATAAACCACCATTATTACACATTTAAACCCGAAGAAAAACTAAGGGCCTGGCCACAGCTACTGGCGGTGCGTTTTGCGGTGCGTTGCGAGGCGCGGCGGGCGGTGTGTTTTGCGGGGGTATGCCACAGCTAGACTAGTTGCGACGGTAGATTTTCAGCAGTTTGTTTCCCAGTTTGGAGACTCCAATATTCACAATAGCGTACGCAGATCAAGACGGAATAATCGAGCAACGGTTCAAGCATCTAGAATACGAAATGAATTCAAATTTCAAATTTTATTTCAATAATCCTATCCAAGAGTATCTAGGAAACCATTAGTAGCAGAAAATTGTCGTTTTATTTCGTCCCACATTTTTTTATAACATGCCTATATTTTAGATGTGGATGTTTTGACATCCATATTTCTGGTCTACTCAGTATTTCACTAATGAATTGTTCCACATCCATTATATTTTATTAGCTCAACGCGCGGTAAAAACAAAATGATTTGTTTCGGTCGCGCGATGCCTCAATGCGTCCACCGACGCCGCCGCGCGCGCCGCTCTGAACTGTGGCCGCCTCGATATTGGCTAGTACATTTGTTTCACTCGCTCATGGCGCAGCTCGTCGCCGCCAGATGTCACGCGCCTCTCACCGCGCCTCGCAACGCACCGCAAAACGCACCGCCAGGCGCCAGTAGCTGTGGCATACTTCATAGGTTGTCTACCATTTGTTTTCGCCGCTCCCGCTTGCCGCGCCTCACGACGCACCGCAATTCGCACCGCTCTCGGCTGTGGCCTAGGGGTAAATAGACAAAACCGCTTTACCGCGGCAGTTCCAGAGTGCTGCACGAACTTTTTTTAAATAGGTACCTCATTAAAAATTACATTTATGATAGTTAATGGTACTGCCATCTGCTGGAGCAACGAAAAACTAATAACACGACATCTAGTGGCTGACGCCCGTAAACAGCGTGTGCTAAGAGAAACTACATAATAGCTCGCTTTCTACCTTTCCAAGACCAAGTGGTTCGCGAGACGCTGTCAATTTTCTCTCCTGCTCGTACTAAATTGTATATTTTCTCTCTAGCCGTGACGAATTTGTCGCGGGATAACAACGTCCTAGTTCCACTTCATGAAAATGTGGTTTTCACATTGAAAACTCACTTGAAATTGATTTTTTAGGCCGTTTTCTGTGAATCGATTTTTTTAGTTAGGTAAAATTCGGATAGACGCAAAAATTATTTTTTTAATAAGATCATTAAAGGCAAGATTTGCGATCCAGCACTAAGCCCAGAAATACTTTTGACACTTGACTGCAAGAAACCCTTACTGTCCAGAAGCTATAGGGAAGTAGGTACATACCTATCTGCAGATAAAGATTATCACTCTTTCAGTTAGATGAATTTTAATCCAGAAATCTCGATCCAGCGCATGACATCTTCGTTTTCCAAGGAAAAGGAAATAATTATAATAAAAGTCAATTAGTATTCTTAAATTATTTATTCATACAATGTAATTATACAATGAAATGTAACAAGAGTGGAATGACGGCTTAACGCTCTAAATATTAATAAAATTCTACATGAATTTGACGACATTTATTCTACTTGGAAAATTTCAGAGTAAGAATGCACTATTGCAAATCTTGGGTAGAATCACAATAAAAAAATATCACAGTTTTAACATAATATAAATAGTGATACCTATAAAATGTTTGGTCGCTAGTGGACATTACAATAAATAAATTAAACTAGCCACAACTGTAATATCCAAACAGGATCTACAAATCATAACATTTATCTATATTACGAGGATTCACCCTCTTAAAAATGCCAACAAAAATCTTATTTAATAGTCGTCAAATCGTTTGTAACCACTGCCGCCCCCCCTTTGGCTACTCTTGCCAAAATTGCTTCCGCGTTTAAAAGAGCCGCCACCACCTCGTCCACCTCCGCCGAATCTGTTCCTGTTCCACCCGCCGCCACCACCACCGCAACGGTCGGCCATCGACTGCAGTTGTGGGCTAATAATCTAAAAACAAACAATATAAAATTGTAATCTATGCCCAGCTACAGTACAATAACATATCAAAATATAAAGTGAATGAATACTTGTTGAATCTACAAATGTTTCGACTTTGACAAAATCCTTTCCTGATATACCAAGAGAAATCAGATAAATCATGTAGAGTGCAGGAAAAAATCTAGACTTTATTTAATAAAATGTCACAACATTTGAGGATGGGATTCAGGCATTTGTATAGCATGAACACCGAAGGCATATAGCTGTATTTAATGTACCTCATACTTGCATTCATGTCACGCTATTGAAGAACGTACCCATGCCAAAGGTATGAGGAATGAATTTAATTTAATTGTATATTATTTATTTAATTGTAAAATCAAACTTCTAACCTGATTAGCTTCTTGTAGAACAGATACCAAATCTTTGGCTTGACGGGAATTTGAAGGGGTAAAGAAAGCATATGATGTTCCTTTTGATTTTGAACGTCCAGTTCTCCCAATACGATGGATGTAATCCTCCGACGAATTTGGATAATCAAAATTTATTACATATTTGATACCATCAACATCTGTAATACACAAATGAATTTTAAAGATCATAATTAATTTAATTAAGGATTTAGTTATTATCTTGAATATCTCACTTTTACTTACATGTTTGTATGAGCTACACAGATAATAACAAATATAACAATGTTGCCTCTCACTGAGAACCCTGGAGTCTAAAGAGGGCAAATCTCTAATTTTAATTTCAAATCTTTTGTTTTAATATTGCCCAAGACTCCACTGGCCGAAACAGAAAACCCTTGACCTCTTGCCGATCATCAGTCAAGTTTTTCAACAATGCACCAATCATGTTTTCTGACCTTATTTTTCAATTGAATAACGCATAGTAAGTGCATCACCAGGTTTTCAACTTTCAAGTCTATCCGCAGTTACGGACAAACCATCAAGCTTTCCGGCCTCGGGTCCAAATGTAGTGAAAGGCACTATGAGGCACCATTATAGTGACGAGTTATTGCATTCTCTACAGTTTACAACTGAATCAGTCACTCATCTACAAATCCAGTAAAGTAATTTGGCATTCAATTGCCAGTTTTCAAATAGAACACAATAACTTTCCGCCAGTGCCTCTGAAATTATAAAACAAATCATTATTAAATTATATTTATAAATTAATAATTAATTTGTATTTTTGATCATAAGAATTAAGTAATTTGATTAAAAAAATATCTCACCAAGCCCTCGAGCTGCAACATCAGTTGCTACAAGAATACTAGCACGACCTTCCTTGAACTGATACAGAACTTCATCTCTTTCTTGTTGAGTTTTATCGCCATGCATGCAAACAGCTGGCCAGCCATATCTCCTTATGTTCCTTGATATGTTCTCAGCTTTTCTCTTGGTTTCAACAAAAATTATTGTTTTCGCACCAGGTTCTTGACTTTGTCCAATTTCTTGCAATAATACATTTAATCTGAAATATAAAGCATTACATTGTCATTGCCAGATTATTCATCTTGTTTAAACTAATAGTATTTAAACATCAGATCTTCTTAGAGGAAATTTGTTGGTCAAATCATGAAGTTATTCATTTTAACAACAAATCATCATTTTTCAAAACAATTACTAAAATTAGTTGGAAATTCTACTCACTTGTTTTCTTTTTCATGTTCTTGACAAATATCTACAATTTGAAGAATGTTGTGATTTGCGGAAAGTTGTAATGATCCTATATTGATCTGAATGTAATCTCCCAAGTAATCCTCAGCAAGTTTCTTCACTTCTTTGGGCCAAGTAGCTGACCACATCAAAGTCTGTCTGTCTGGGCGTATTTGCTCAATGATTTTTCTGATTTGTGGTTCAAATCCCATATCCAACATACGATCAGCCTCATCAAGAACTAAATATGTGCACCGCTGTAAGTTGGTTGTGCCCTTTTCCAAGAAATCAATTAATCTACCTGGAGTAGCAATGACTATTTCTACTCCCCTCTCCAAGTCCCGGGCTTGCTCTCTTTTAGGAGCACCACCAAACACACACGTGTTACGAACATAAGATGTGTGTCCAAAATCTGCAGCAACTTGCTGAATTTGTTGTGCTAACTCTCTGGTAGGCGCCAAGACCAAAGCAATCGGACCATCACCTCTCCGAATAGGCGGTTGGTTGTTTATGTGCACAATGGCTGGCAAGATGTAGGCCAACGTTTTGCCGGAACCCGTTTGAGCTACGCCAACTAAATTCTTTCCAGACATAGCTATCGGCCAGCCTTGAGCTTGAATGGGCGTCGGTTCTTTGTAACCCATTGTCTTCACACCTTGTTGCACATAATCAGGAAAATTTGCTTCTTCAAAGTATTGAATAGGATTATGAACCTCAACGCCACTTACAGTTACCTCGTGATTATTTCTGTACTCTTCGACTTCATATGGTGATCTTTTGAGAACTGTAGGATGTGGATCATAAAAGTTTTTGTTGAAAGGTTGGAGTGAAACAGAATCCCAATCTGGGCGACGCATGTTCTGACCTCCAGAGAATTCTTTTTTCCCACCAAATCCTCCAGATCCTCCAAATCTATTGCCACCGTTGCCAAATCGAGACGAATTATCGCCGAATTTGTTGCCTCCTCCAAATTTGGAACCACCGTTTCCACGGCTATTATTCCAGTTACCAGACCTAGTGCAAAGGAAAAAATCAATACATTGCTTCGCGCTTGCGCTTTACACGCCAGAAGTAACAAAAACGTTGCCATTATTGTCAATGCGCATGCGTGAACAGCTAAAGACAAAATGGCTTCATGTAGATTTGTTAAAATGGATAAGTATGAATTAAATAAATGCCACTACACACTTTCTAAATTAAAAATCATTTCAAAACCAAAATAGGTTTTAAAAAGATCGTGACAGAGAAATAATGATGTGATGAAAAACCGAAATTCAATTTACAAGACAATTCTAGCTTTCGTGGTAGGTGGCCTTTTTGACCATTATTTTTGACTAAATTAATGGAAATACTCTCACATCTGAAATATACGTTTAAATAGAGTAATACTTACATGATTAATTTTCGGATTTAGTTGAAGATGTTTATTTAAACTATGGATTCTTTTTGACGCAGGGTCCACCTAAAAGGAAAAGATAAAAATTCTGATCACAATTTGCGCTGCACCAACAAAATAGTTTCACGGAATTTGATTCACGCAGTTTCGTAATGAGGTTTTGCAGGACGAATAGAACTTAGAATATTATTCAACTGACAAATCAATAATTCGAACAAATTTAAGTGGAGTGACGTCCTACCTTGACCACTGCTGCGCGATGAAAGAATGAAAGGATGAGAAGAACAGAACCAACTTCCTCCATGAATGGGATTGGGAACTGTCAAATCGATATCGAATGGAACTTGTTGTTTTAGTGTAGGGAAAAATCACAGTTTCGAAGCGAATGAACGGTCTAAGTTCGAATAATCGTGTCATCCAATAAATAATTATTACATGAATTAGTTCAGGGACAGCTAATATACAGGGTGTCCCAAAAATAATGGATAATCCTGAAACACCTCATAGTAGAGCAAATGGGGACTGAAATAAAAAATTTTTTTTTAGTTAGTACCCAAATTAAAAATAAAGAAAAAAATACCACATTAAGTTCAGATTAGCTTTTATAAAAAATTACACTGGCTACTCAAACGATTTCCTGCATATTTCTTAGTATAGTCCATGTAGAATATTATAACACCAAAAGCCTATAGATTCCATTTATTTGTAGCTGTTGTATATTCCAGAAACGCACAGCAGTATGGAAAATATAATTTTTTTTTAAATATGTAATTTGGGTACTACCTGAGAATTTGTTATTTTATTTTTTATTTTGTGTTCCCAATAGGAGTTTCAGGATTATCCATTCTTTCTGGGACACCCTGTATACATGAGTTAGTTCGGTAAAACCGCCTTTTAGTAACCAAATAAAAAATATACAAACTACAAAACAAATTAAAAAAATACATTTTGTAGTCAAGCTTCATTGGTAAGCACAGCTATTTGTATACTTCTTCTAAATTCTTTTCAATGCCATATTTTATTTTTCCGAATGTAAATTATTTACCTGGAATTTAAATTATTTACGAATCAATAATCTACAAGAAAATATTGCATTAACCTACTACTATTAATCATCTCTAATAAATGAAGTTCGAATTTAAAGTCCATATGTTGAAATAAATTAGATCGTCCTGTTTATCTTGACTTGGGTAAAGCAATGAAATAAATTATAGGAGAACTTTATATCAAAATGAGTAAAAATAGTAAAATGGGTATCGAGATATATTCAATTTCGAAATCACAATAGTATTTCGATTTTAAATAGCTACACATCCTTAAGTTGAATTGAAGAATGGAAATTTTTAAGGTACAAATTCCTGAAACCTTTGCTACAAGTTCACGTGAACTAATTTCAGTGTTACAATATTAATATGATTTCTAGTTCCTAAGTTTCTTCTACCTTCCAAGGTGAATTCTACCATTTCCTTGNATATATTCAATTTCGAAATCACAATAGTATTTCGATTTTAAATAGCTACACATCCTTAAGTTGAATTGAAGAATGGAAATTTTTAAGGTACAAATTCCTGAAACCTTTGCTACAAGTTCACGTGAACTAATTTCAGTGTTACAATATTAATATGATTTCTAGTTCCTAAGTTTCTTCTACCTTCCAAGGTGAATTCTACCATTTCCTTGGACATAATTAGGAATGTACGTAAGGAGTATAAAATTACGCACTTGCCGTAAACTCCAGCTTCTTCAATCTTTCAATTCCCAAAGATACATTTTGTTACAATTTTATTTAAAACTAGCTGACCTGGCAGACTTCGTAGTGCCTCAATCGATAAATGAAAGAAAACAAAAGAAATTCGCCCGACCGGGGACACATCAAAGGAAAAACAAAATTGTTATTTTTATTTAATTCCGTGCATTTTCATATTTATCTACCTTTTAAACCTTCTCTGGTCTTCCACAAATAATTCAAGACCAAAATTAGTCAAATCGATTCAGCCGTTCTCGAGTTTTAGCGAGACTAACGAACAACAATTCATTTTTATATATATAGATAAATGAATTGCTAAAAAATGAATATATATATATATATACCACAATTGAATCTTTATATATATATATAAAGATTCAGTTGTGGTAGCTTTTTAGAATATCGTATCCTTTATGTTGACCGTGTATTTCTAATAACATAAGAGGCAACGTGCGGAATTCTACGAATGGTTCTATTAAATTTTATATAAAAAATGCAGTAGGTAAGTTTTGTTGTGTATTGTGGTGTGGTGTCACACACCATCAAGTAGACCGTATGGTTGTCAGCTTAAGTATATTGCCAATAAATTTAATGATGATGATGATGATGATATGAAAATTTTCCCTCAGTATAGACTTTTCCACTTGGAACTTGAACTTGCTACCTTGAACAATATACTTGAGACCTTAGAAAGGTGGGTGGCACATTTACGTTGTAGATGTCTATGGGCTCCAGTAACCACTTAACACCAAGTGGGTTGTGAACTCGTCCACCCATCTAAGCAATAAAAAAAATGCTACTAACAATGAAAATCTATTAATATTAACATCTATTTTTTTCTCCTGCCTATTCGCTGGGAGCCAAATAGAGAGACACACAATTGAAATTTAATCAAAGAACCATTTTTCTAACAGAATTTTATAACCTTGTATTTTAAAAGTGTTTGCTCTTCTTTTAAAAAATAAGATAATGAGGGATATTCCGTGCCTGAACTAGGTAAACATTTCGCGGAAGAGCCGCAGTCGAGGAGCTAAAGAGCAGCATGCGAGCTGCAAGCCGATCGCTGGCCTAAGGGGCTGTTCTAGCTGCCAAGTAATTCATGCTTATGTTTGTAATGCTGCTACCTACTGTGGCTTCACTTGATTTCTATATTTAATCTACTAAAAATCATTCAATTTAATCAATTCATTCATTCGTTCATTGAATATCTGTAACTTCAGGTCAGTCAACTTCACTGTAATGAAATTGTCGTACTCTGAAGTTGCATTTTGTTCATCTTTCAATTATTTTATGAAGTTTTGTGTGGATTGTCAAATTAAAGCACAGCGGTGTGGTTTTTATTTCTCTTTAACATTTTTAAGTATATTGTAATAATTTTATTAAAAAGTAACCGTTGAAGAAATAATTAAAAATGTCTATGCAACCGCACAGTAAGAAAAGAGTGTGTTACTATTATGACAGTAAGTAAAATAAAGTTTTACCCGCCACGGATCTCCATTACATCGCTAGTAACTTAAGAATTCGTTTTTGTACTATAAATAATTAATATGCGTAGTATTCATATTTTAAATACAAATTTCCATACGGCCTAGCTCTTTTAAGAACTTCAGAGATTTTAAAGTTTGTCTTAGGATTTTTATGACATTGTTAACTCAGTTCATTGTTTCATTTTACGACGTCTGTACAGCGTTCCGCGTTCCTATTGGGTACACGGACTTGCTCGTATTACGATGTACGAGGTACAGACGGCTAAATATGAAGCCGTAAAATGATTTAAGTAACATGTTAATAAAAAGTTGAAAATAATGCGTGTTATTTTTATTAAAGGCGATATTGGAAACTACTATTACGGACAAGGGCATCCAATGAAACCTCACCGCATACGTATGACCCACAATTTACTCCTCAACTATGGACTCTATCGAAAAATGGAGATTTATGTGAGTACTGAAATTACCTTTTAGGTGTAAGTTCTTCAATGATTTGAGATTTTATAATTATATATTTTTAAACAGAGGCCTCACAAAGCCACAGCTGATGAAATGACAAAATTCCATTCAGATGATTACATTAGATTCCTGCGTTCTATTCGACCTGACAATGTTTCTGAGTACAACAAACAAATGCAGAGATGTAAGTTATTACTAATTATTATCAATATTATTTAAAAAAAGTATAAATTATTCATAAATGCTTTAATAAAAATGTATTACCCTTGAAGACTTACCTGTTAAAGCTAATATAACAGTAGAGTTACCTATTTAGTGTATTATTTTATATTAAACTATATTTTTTCAGTGTACCTATAATATTATAATAGATTTGTCCCAAAGTTTCAACTATGTTCAGTTTACAATAATGTGAATCTACTACAGTGGAATCTTACTATATTCATAATTTGTATAAAAAGATGATGATGAAAATAATAGATTGAATACAGCATATTTTGTGTAAAATTGTGGAAAATTCCTTTGATTCACTGCTATGACACTGAAAAAAATTCCCAAATTCAAATCTTTGACTATACCACAGCATCTAGTTGTGTCAGTCAATTGTCACACTGCTTGATAAGTATAGATATAACATACCAAAATTATAAAGAAAAAAAAACTACTTTCCTGTATGAGCACTCTCCTTGTCTGCAGCCTGTTTAGTTGAAACCAATGCATCTGCTGTTTATTGCAGGAAGAAAACCTTTATAATGTACATATTTATTTAAAGAGTATGGTGAAAATGGTGTACAATCCTATTGGTTTTTTGTTAAAGTTCCTATAGTTCAAAGCATCAGCCAAATTATTTTTGACCTATCCCTCAATCTACTGATGGGTAATATCCTATAAACTACATACCTTTATTAGTGCCTGATCACATTCCGGGATGATATGGAAAATATTCAACTTATTGAATGTGACTAATTTTAATATACATTTTGCAGTTAATGTAGGTGAAGATTGTCCAGTTTTTGATGGCCTGTATGAATTTTGTCAGTTATCTGCTGGGGGTTCAGTTGCAGCAGCTGTAAAACTGAATAAGCAGGTAATTAGTCTTATTGTTTTATTTATTTTATTTTGTTAAAACAACTTTTTCAGTTTAGTTAGTGGCGACGAAAACTGTAATTTATTTAAAAAATCAGAAATACATAATATAACGGTAATAGTATACATGACATTAAACAATAAAAGTAGTTTTAATTACCTCCTCTACTTACATATGCCAATGAGAAAGTATTATTTTCATTTGTTAAAATTATTCTAATTTTACCTTTTTAGTGTTTTAACTTTAAAATGGTTAAAGACAGATGAGCCACAACCTGATATTAACTGATACTGTGTCAGAGATGAATAGAACACTTAAATTGTGTTTATATTGATTTTAAAAAAATAAAACAATAGTTTTTTCTTATCTTGTGAGATTTCTAATTTAATTCTGCAAGTTTTCTTAATTTTATAATTACATATATAGTTACATAGGTTTAATTTATAGTTATTTATAACTATAAAATTAAAACATGTTTGTACTGATTTTATTATTGTAATAAATTTTTTTTTCCTTACATTATACGTTAGATTAGTTTTCGTTATCGTGTTGTCGTAATTGTAAGGAACGTTGTTATACAAATTCAGCACTTTGTTTGGTTTTGTCGTGCGCACATAACTTATGTTGCAAGCCTGATTTTGTTTCTTTTTATTTGTGTTTTTTATGTATCTTTAGCTTGTGATGTGTATTGTGAGCCTAATAAAAAATAAAAATAAATTGTTTTAGGCCTCAGAAATTTGCATAAACTGGGGTGGTGGCCTCCATCATGCAAAGAAGTCTGAAGCGTCAGGTTTCTGTTATGTTAATGACATTGTTCTTGGCATATTGGAGTTGCTGAAATACCATCAAAGAGTACTATATATTGACATAGATGTGCATCATGGTGATGGTGTTGAAGAAGCTTTCTACACCACTGACAGAGTAATGACCGTTTCCTTTCATAAATATGGAGAATATTTCCCTGGAACAGGTGATTACATTACTTATTTTTATTTAAACTTGTTTAAAACATTAAAGTTGATTTGAGTAATATTGAGTGATTAGCACAAATATATTTGTACATTTTGATCACATGAAACTGAGAAAGATAAGTAATTGCAGCACCGCATTTGTTACCTTGCACATACAGCACTGACTGTACACTCTACATCTAAAAAGTGTGTACACAAATTTACAACGATTGTGCATTTTCCTGATCTAACAAAAGAGTAATATGACTCATTTAAAAACTGCTACTGGGAGAAAAAATTTAAATTATCTCAAAGATATCTCATCTCATCTTGGGGTTTTCCTATAAAGATTTTATATATGGCAATAATTGATTATCATAATATTACAGGTGATTTGCGGGACATTGGTGCCGGTAAAGGCAAATATTATGCTGTAAATATACCCCTTCGTGATGGAATGGATGATGAGTCATATGAGTCTATCTTTGTTCCCATTATATCCAAAGTTATGGAGACATTCCAACCAAGTGCTGTAGTACTACAGTGTGGTGCTGATTCTCTGACAGGTAACTATAATAACTCTAACTTTATAACTCTTGTGTCACTTTTTATTTGTCCAAGCTATTTGCTTAATCTAATGTTTTAAGAAATTGAATTGATTCTGAATGTTTTTAATGATGTAAAATCATTCATACCAATTATTAACTAAATAATGAACATTTAGTTAATTACTGTAACTAAAATACCTATTTTTATTATCCAAGGTGACAGATTGGGTTGTTTCAACTTGACCGTTCGAGGTCATGGACGCTGTGTAGAACTTGTCAAGAGGTTTGGACTACCATTCTTACTGGTCGGCGGAGGCGGGTAAGTTGTTTTAAACATAACTTTGTTTCGCTTTTAGATAGAAACTGAATTATATCTTTACTGCTTAATTTATTTAATTTACTAGGTCAAAATAATGTAATCTCTTAATTTTTTCACAACAACTAGACTATTTTCTTTAACCCTCTTTTCATTGCTTCATGTGTAATAAATTTCACAGATATACCATACGTAATGTATCTCGCTGTTGGACTTATGAGACATCTGTTGCACTTGGTGTGGAAATAGCCAATGAACTACCATATAACGACTACTTTGAGTACTTTGGGCCTGATTTCAAACTACACATATCACCAAGTAACATGTCCAATCAAAACACACCTGAATATCTGGAAAAGATAAAAAATAGACTGTTCGAGAATCTCAGAATGCTCCCACATGCGCCAGGAGTACAAGTAAGTGTTTTCCAAATTACTACATGACTAGATAAAGTTCTGACTACGATTTTTAGTTTTAACGTGTTTCTGATATTTCGACGCTGTTGCAAACGCCATGTGGTAGGATGTTCGGAATAGATACATCTATCTCCCTAGTAGTTTTTTAGTTGTTACCTAAATTTTTCTTGTCAAATAAATAATAAGCAAGATTCGTAAGCGGAGTCTCCTAGTACAGGCTTGCACGCCTAAAAGGAGATTCCAATCATTGTATTATTTTAACTAGCTTTAGAATCTTTTTGATAATGAGCTAGGTACACAATTTTTTATGTTGTTTACTTTTTCAAACATCACTAAAATTCTTTATTCCTCTAGGTGCAAGCCATACCTGAAGATGCTGTCAATGATGAGTCAGATGATGAAGATAAAATAGACAAAGATGAGAGATTACCACAGAGTGATAAGGTATGATTTAAAAGTTAAGTTTTAATCACAGTGTTTTCCGGTAAGCCCAATTTTAAATATGCGTTTGAATATTTAGTAAAAAAATTATTTATTTATTTGGGTGAACTAATTAGTTTTGTTACATGGCTTTGAGGATAAAATATTGAACAAGAATAAACCCATAACACGTTTATTCAGTTAAATATCAAAGTTACATAATAGTGAAAATCTCAAAAAAAATTGCAGAATGTTATTCCAAACTCACTAGTATCTATTATGCACAAATATTTACTCTTTTTCATTAATATTATTTTGAAAATTCCCTTTGAATCCCTTAAATTAAATTAAATTATTTAATATTCTTAAACACTAAAAGTCATTTTCAGTTCAACAAAGTTAAATCTAACTCAACTCAACAAAAGTATTGTGACATCCCGGATTTATCCCTATTCTAACTCTAGTCTCTATTCCCCCAATCTACTGTAGGATATTTCCGCGGTCTGCTCTTAGTGGTCTGCTACATGGCGATCAAGCAAGTTTTTGTAATAATAAGATTTTAATGTGATACGCAACAGGACAAGCGCATCGCTAATGACGGCGAGCTGTCGGACTCCGAGGACGAGGGCGACGGGCGCCGCGACAACCGAGCCTACCGCGCGCCGCAGCGCAAGCGTCCGCGACTCGACAAGGAACCCCTGCAGATCAAGGACGATCTTAAACGTACGTACACACATCTCTTACTTGCATTTACTGGTGGTAGCAGCTCCTGTGAGTCCACGCGGGTAGGTACCACCACCCTGCCTATTTCTGCCGTGAAGCAGTAATGCGTTTCGGTTTGAAGGGTGGGGCAGCCGTTGTAACTATACTGAGACCTTAGAACTTATATCTCAAGGTGGGTGGCGCATTTACGTTGTAGATATATATGGGCTCCGGTAACCACTTAACACAATGTGGGCTGTGAGCTCGTCCACCCACCAGTGAAACCATTCATTCGAGGATGTAATATAGTTGGAGAAACACTATTGAAGAAATCAAATTTCTAAGTCATTTATGCAAACGGATATGAATTCTGCACTATGCACTAATGTAACTCAGAACACTGTGCTGCAAGAAAATGGTTTTGATTAATTTCTTATTTATAAAGTAAAATATTACCAAACAGAACTGTCGCATCCTTAATAGATCCATACAGACTAATTGGTTCATACCAGTACAAAGTCTGAGTAAGAGACAGCAAACTATTTTTTCCAAAATATTGATCGCACTACTTATTGCCATTTACAGCTGATGACATGAAGGATGACGTTAAAAACGTTAGCAACGCGGAAGAATCAAAAAAGGACATGCCACCGAATCCCTGATGAGTGCAAGATTCTAAACGTTATCGTCCATAGTACAGTGCATTGGCACTTTGGGAATAATTACAAACTGAAACTGGACATTCTCATGTTCTGCTTGAGCACAATATCGTGATTTAACGTGGACCTAAGAGACGACTAGAGATAGTTTATACAGTCCTATATTATTATAAGATTCTCTGTTTTCAATGATGACCGTTTATCATTCGTGATTATTTTTTTCACTTTTATCTATTATACGACTGGTTTGAATTGTATATTGTTTTAAAGGTAAAATCTAATGTTTAGATGAAACGTGTTGCCGTCACAGAGACGCTTCAGTTTATTTAAACATTCCTAAAGCTCCAAAATCTTATTGCTTTTGTTGATAAATGGATGTGTACCGATAATGTTGAAGAAGTTAATAAGATCTCATAATGCGTCTGCTATGATAACTCTGAATGTGTAGTCGTGTGAGAATCGAACAGACGACCCTCGGCTCGACTGTTAGGTTCGACACATCTGCTGCAATCTGTTTAATTTAAATTTCATTTTCATGCGATTACGATAAATCATATTATATTTAAAGAGTTGATTTTAATTATCAACTACATAAAAACCAGTATTTGTTTTGCCTATGGATTTAGTGAAAAATACTCTGTTAATGAATTAGAAAGATTGTCCTCAACAACTATTTCGATAATCTTCATAGATGTGTTTGACATAACGTTTAACTCTCTTTATACGCAACATTGAGTTATCATAGTACAATCAAAGAACCTAGTTTCATAAGATTTTATAAATATATAAGGTTAATTATACTCATGGGACGAGGAAAAGGTAGTGGATTTTATATTTATGCCTATTAATTACACGTTTGTTGCTGGGGCTTTGGCAAAGGGGCGTGATCCCATATCGCTCACTTAATCAAATGTTTGATGTATACACAAACTGCGCAAACATTTGATTAAATGTTAACAAACCTTATTCGGGCATAGCATACACGGAACTGAGCCTAGAAAAGTGCCAGTACAAGATAGTAAAAAAAAATGAAATCGCACAGAATATTACTGGGGATGTATTATTATGATTTATTAGTCGTACACTAGCACCTGGTTTTCATTTTTAATTGTAATGCATAGGTTATATTACTGCTGTACTGGATTGATAACAAATTGTTTATTAAAATACACGATATCTACAAAGACTCCATTGAATTCAGCATTTATAGTAATAAAAATTTAATAAAACAAACATACCTGTGACGTCACCGCATCCTTACCCACCACATCTATAAACCCTTACCGACCGGCTTTTTTCTGAATCCGGGTTTCGGGCCTTAGTTATCGTGATTGTATGTTAACTTCTCTAGTTGAGTACCTATATACTTAATACATTATATATTAGATAAAAGTAATGGAACACCTGTTAATTTTATATTTTCTATGATTGATTTGAATCTAGGAATACAGAAAATGAACCTAAACAGTAATTTTATTGCTGATTTGTAGTCAGTCAGATACTGCTCATATTTTGAGTTATTTTTGTATGTATATTTGAAATATTATTGAAATATGAGTCGATGATAGTATTGAAAGAGGTGTCGTCACAGGACAGCCAAGTCAATTAAGTTTTCGTACAAAAACTATTATCATTTAATAAAATGTATGTCATTTTAATTAGACTGTTTATTTTTATTTTTTAACCCTTTGCGATCCTTAAACTATATGTTGAATATGTATAGACTCTGGACCTCATAGGGTTAAACTGGTTTCTCAAAACCAGAACTAGGATATTAAATATAGATATCGTGTTGTATTTTAATTAAAATAGTATAGAAAGTAAGAATTTTCTGTGTATCTATATCCGTAGTTAATTTATATGAGGCATTATTTTTGCACTTTGTAAATGTACTCTTTTGATACAATCACAAAGTGTTATGATCGCATTTAAATCATTGTTTTCATCCATGGACGGTAGGTGTTTATAGTCGCCAATTTGGGAAACTTTTTACTTTTATTATAGGGCAGATCTTTCTTTCACAGATGGATAGATGATGGTTAGTCCGTATTTTTTCCCAAGAACAAAATTTCTTGAAGCTATCCAAATTGTTTCGAACAAATTGCATAGCCTTAGATCAATTTTGTTTAATAAGATCAATAAATAGCTCGACAGCTATAATATGCGATATGCAATAGAAATACTATTAAAGAAATGTGCTTATCAAAACAGCATCGAAGTTACTTAGTTTTTTAATGACGTAGCAGTCATCTAAAATAATAATGAAACATCATAATTTTTTTACCATTTTCTTAGATGGAGATACTAGTTCACGGCTCAACTGGTTGTAAGTACATGGTTACCGGAAGCGATAGACATCAACAAAATAAATCCCTACATACACCCATCTTCAGACTTGAGTCTTAGTCTTATGTGTTTTACAGTACAAAGGCCGCCCACCATCCTTCAAACTGAAACGCATTACTGCTTTCCGGCAGGAATAGGCAGGGTGGTCCTACCTACTCGTGCGAACTCAAGACGTCTTACCACCAGTAATACTTCAAGTACTACTACTTCTCTCATAGTATGTTATTGGTGACGTCATTACATCATTAAATTTGCATCCTTCATTTGTTTCACTACTATTCCACAAGTTTCAAACGTATTTGAATAGATTATAAATGAATTATCATTTTCATTTGGTGAAATAAATCAGATTGTAAACTTCATTGGGCAGAGAAGTTTATTAAATAAGATTACGTCGTAAATTAGTTTGTAAACATTTTATCACAGAAGATACTAGTTTTTATATATTTCATAAGCTCAATAAAATATTATTTTGTAGTCTAGCTTAGTGATATCCAACACTAAGAAAATCCAGCACGTAGTCCTGTAATAATGCGTTACACGGATGCCTGTAAATGTACCATTACCACTCGCAAGTCGCAACGAATGATTGTTGTTCTAATGTTTTATTGAGCTTAAGAAAAATTTCAAGTAATTCTAATGCTAAATCTTAAGTTTTAATTTGACAATTATTTAAATATAGTGTAAGTTTGTAAAATAAATAGATTTTATTGTTTTAAATAAACATAATGTCTAATTATGCGGTATTTTACTATAGAAAATTCCAAATAAAATATATCCAAAACAGATGCCCCGTCAATAGGTTAGGGTTTTGGAGTACAATACAATAAAAAAGACTTTAATGCACAGGTACACCGAAATAAGGGCAATATAGACAAAAGTGAATGAGAAAAATTATACTTAAAACTTAAAGTACAATGAGCGGACCTTTCGCTCGCTGAAAGCGATTCTTTCCAGTCAACCTGTGGATGGAGATAATTTAGGAAATTGAATAGGATGATGTAGTCCAAGGACGTCATGAAAATAATTACATAAATATATGTATAAATGATTACATACATATAATTATGACCATTGCAATACTTACTTCATAACATTTATTCTAAAGTAACTCTATGCAAAGTAAACAGGAAGTAAAAATTAATACATACCTATTTAATACGGTTTACAAAATAAATGACGACCCATCTAACGTGATGATATAGAGAACAAAATATAATGATTTACATTCGAATACATAAACAGACTCATCTTGCTATAAAACTCGATTTTTTTAGTAGTTGAGGCATACTCAGTTTGTGGTTCTCACATGATCTAAACGGACTTGCATAAGAACATATAAGACTTCTTCTTCGTTCTTTCAGACAGAGGTGGGTGAATGATGATGGGCGAAATTCGGAGACCTATTAATATTTTCGATGACCGTAAATAAATTTTATACAAAAGTTAAAGACGCTCAAGCTCTTCAATAATGAAAGTGTTCCTCCGTAAAATTACGCAAAAAGAAGCCTGTGCGTACAACCTTAGTAGCGGTTGTTAGAAAATTACGTAGATTACGAAGAGAGCCACCTGAAGCAAATATTTTAAAAGTTTACGGCCTACAAGCTGACCGGTTTCCATACCCACTTCCTTATACTCCTTATATCGTCTGTGATTTTAACGAGGTTCTGTTACAGTACTACGATGGTACGGGAACCAGACCGCAAGGGGTTCATAATATTATGTTTAGGAAAGTAAGAGCTCTGTGGACCACTAACCAAACGCTCGATTACCTTAGAGAGAAATGGTAAAATATAAATAGGACTATATTTGAAAGGACTTGATTTAGAAGTCATGTAACTCGAAAATTACTACTGTTGCACTACTTCGGAAAAATAAACTTTGTTTTATAAAAAACCAAAACAGTCACATAAATAAAACAAGTGATTTAATTGTATTATGATTTACTTTCAAACATTATCACAACGCTCTAGACATAAAATTGCACCATAAAATAAACGTACCTTAAAATCAGTCTGGTACCGAAAGGCTAGATAAAATGAACGTAATTGGAATGAATACAAAAATACTATGAAATAATTTAGCAATATACAACTACATTAGTAATGTTACATAGGTACATGAAATTTCCAATAGAAGACAGCCTTCACGCGTTCAAGAGAAAAAACTCATGCCAAAGGATTACAAATACATATTATACTCTAATGAACACTTACAAGTGTGGGGCGAGCTACATTATCAAGTTCGAAAAGTCTAATCTTACATGGCTGCTGTGCACTAACTTATCTAATAATTCATTTTCGATTTTGAACTTTATTTTTAAAAATCACATTTTCTTTCATTTCTATACAAAAAGATTAAGGAATGTAATTTAATTTTGGAAGATAACATATTTTAATCACGTGAATTATTTTAATTTATAATTAATAATAACGGAATCACTTCAAAAAGATTGTGCGTTAGAAAATGTAGGCCTTCTAAACATGACTAGGCAAAGACCAAATCGATATCACTTCATAATTTTCTGATTTTACAATGAATAAAATATCTAATAAATAAAATCTTTGTAAATCATCATCTCATAGAATAAATATAAATGAAGATTAATTATATTCATTTGTGGATCGCAATATTTTAAAGTATAAATTTAAATGTTATTTAAAAGTACTTTATAATTTTCAGAAATATCTATTACTTTTGTGAATGAATATAAAATTCACGTAGGTATTATCACTATTTAGTTAGAATATAAACTTATTTAGTACATATAATTTTTAAATCAATCACAATCCGGCAAGTTACTACGAAGACGAAGGCTACAAAATCAATATTACTTACACATGTGAAATAAAATTAAATGAGTATACATATATTATATTTGCATTAAATATGCTAAAACTTATAATGACTATAATAATTGATAACACAATACTAACTCAATCACAGTACATAAATTTGATTGACTATTAATTATTAATGTATATATCCTAGTATCCAGTTGAAAATATGAACTATTATTTTATTATACTATTCTATTAAGATACAGAAAAAAATTCGTGCTTTTAATTTCATCGCTATTTTATTTATATTTCTGGAACACTAAGACCGTAATAAAATGTCTAAAATGTTAAAATTCTAACTGGCACAATTATGAGCATCCAATAATTTTACATAATTTTTTTGTGGAAACTGGACAATGAACCCTGGTCAGCTAACCGTCGCACCCTCATTGATTAGGTTTCTGCGCCCTCTGAAAATCACAAACGATGTTATCGTACAATAATTATGTACTGTAAGCTTATTTTTTTCATCTTTAATCTGATGTAATTAGTATTTTTAGTATGAAACATCTTCGTCGCGGGCTTTATCAATATTATATCATTCTGAGATTTTTTTCTTATTATTTAATTTTATTTATAACTAGCTGACCCGGCAGACTTCGTAGTGCCTCAATCGATAAATAAAAGACCTAAACTTTATTTAATTCCGGAATTTTTCATATTTATCTACCTTTTAAACCTTCTCTGGACTTCCATAAATAATTCAAGACCAAAATTAGCCAAATCGGTCCAGCCGTTCTTGAGTTTTAGCGAGACTAACGAACAGCAATTCATAGTTATATATAGAGATAGATTTATTAATTTATAAATGTCGCGTATTAAGCGAAATGTCGCTTAAACTAATAACGATATAAACTACTATATTATGTCAAAAATTTAACTAACCAGGCGTCAACGGATGGTCACGTAACATTGAACCTGCAATCATAAAATTATATTTCAATACTGTAACAAAAAAACAGTGATTGATGTAAGCTCTGTATTCGATGTTATGATTGTAAGCAACCTATGATGCATAATGCGAACAAATCTTCAATTACAAGAACTACTTTCTATTTATAACCTATATAAGCTCCCACCTAATGAATACGTTCAGTCATTATTATTACCATAATATCATTATATAAAAGAGGCGATATATTTGTAAAATTAGATTTTACAAATAAATATTAATTTTAATCAAACAAAATTTTAAAGCATGCACAGTATAAAATTAGATAACTAATTATAGAACATGCCGCCTTTATAAAACACCAAAGCGTTTATTACCTACACTTAAACATAAACAGCGCAATTAAGCTCTATAACAAGATACTGTACAAGGTACTGACTGTAATTACCAAATTTCAAAATTCATTCATCATCAGTAGGTATTAAAATGTGGCGGCACCAAAGTAGCATTAGTATCATAAAAAGTAAACAGGTATTTACTGAAATTGTCAATGAATTTCAGTAAAGTACTGTAAGTTTTTCATATGGATGTTATATGTAAGGAGCACCATCTCAGTGTATCGGAAATAGTCAATGTGGCAGTAGTTACTGTCAGTTTTTCATATGGAGGGTAAAAGTAAGGAGCACCTTCTCAGTGTATTAAAAAATGTCCGCTGAAACGGAACCAATTAAGGTGGTGCCATAGTAGCAAGTGGAAAGATTTTAAGCGCCATAATATACTACCACACTTAACTTCAATTCAGCACACTTAATCTATATCTATATATATAAAAATGAATTGCTGTTCGTTAGTCTCGCTAAAACTCGAGAACGGCTGGACCGATTTGGCTAATTTTGGTCTTGAATTATTTGTGAAAGTCCAGAGAATGTTTAAAAGGTAGATAAATATGAAACTACTCGGAATTAAATAAAAATAACAATTTTGTTTTTCCTTTGATATGTCCCCCGTCGGACGGATTCCTTTTGTTTGTTTTACTTTTAAGTTTATTTTATACAAAAGCTTAGGTCTTTTATTTATCGATTGAGGCACTACGAAGTCTGCCGGGTCAGCTAGTTCTGCTTAAAATTCTGCTATATTCATATCATTTCCACTTGCTACACTAGCGCTACTTCGACGAGTCTTCCAACAATTACTTGCTGTTTACAGTTGGTAAATTTTTCAACTTGTCCCCTATACAAGATGGTGCTCTATACTTCTCTACCATCCTTTTTCACTCAATGAACATAAAAAACGAGCTTAAAACACACACACAAACAAAAACAAAAAACCATCGCACATGTAAAGCAGCATTCAAGCCATTACCTACACGAAGTGGCACATCGACACTAGAACTCAGTACAGAATAGCGTCTGAAAGTTGGTTACTGGTTAGTGCAGCGCCCGGCGTGATGCCCACGATGCTGCCGCCGACGCACGCCTCCACTCCTTCTGTAGACCACCACCGTAACATCAAACCACCACAAAACAAGATATGACAACCACGAATGTTAAACAAAGAAGATTAGAATATTAGAAGATTGCACAAAGTGGGAATTAGTTGCTCGCTCCGGGCACTTCAATACTGCAATAATTGTTACGTTATAATACTCATTGGAAAAATGAATATTTAAAAAAAAAGACATGCCCGCTGGCTGAGTTTCTTGCCAGGTCTTAGGACGGAGGCTAGTTTTTGTGAATTGGCAGTAGTTCTTTTTGACGTTCAACAAGTATGTATATACGTTCATTTATGTTGAATAATTTTTTTTTGATTTGATTTGATTTAAAGATTTATTAGGTAGCACTTTTTTGTAAAAATAATAATAATCATAATCAGCAAACTATAATTGTCATATCTAGTTACGTTTGTTACTTCGTTGTTATAACGATTTTTGATAGCGAATATGTTGTAGTAAAGTTAGATTGATAGAAATGGTTCGCTATGGCTAATGAAGTGGGGAAGTCATGGCATGCTCTTTCTATAGTTTTTTGGTGATTGTCATGATGCATCAATTTTACAATTAAACAAACCAGGTTTGTTAAGCATTGGTGAATATGTAGACTTGAAAAGTATTATTTTTAGATATCTTATGAAACTACATTGAGGTGTTACATACACCTGAAATGATGAACGTTTCTCATAGATAAATAAAAGAAAAGCCATTCAAAATTTCAAAATGATTTAAGAGACAAAAAGTACGTATAAAACTATTATGTAAAATTTAGTATTTACATGCTTTAATAGTGTCTCAAATGTCTCAAATATGCAAAATTTGTACGATCGATTATAAAAAGAATTTAAACTTAGGCATTCCATGAGAAAGCAGTAGTGAGATACTAACTAGGCGACAGCGATAAGTGCAGGTTAGAATAAATTTACTTGTTTTTGTTTTTTTTTTTATATTTACTTGTTTTTTTTTATAATCTTAAAATTAACATAATTACAACACATTGTAATTAAATTATAGGCTTCAAATTATATTTCCTTCTATGCGACACATGGGAATTTGGAAACTGATGTGTCCAAGACACAAACTAAACTATTTTTGTAATTTAAATGAGAAAATTTATAGTGAATAATGTTATTTGTGTTCCCGTGTAGTCCGCTTGTGGTTTATGCACTTATGTATGACGTCACGAACTGATTAATGTTCTGGGTAGTTTTAATTTGACTTTGGTACGTTTCAATACGTTTCGGTACAATATCTATATATATAAAAATGAATTGCTGTTCGTTAGTCTCGCTAAAACTCGAGAACGGCTGGACCGATTTGGCTAATTTTGGTCTTAAATTATTTGTGGAAGTCCAGAGAAGGTTTAAAAGGTAGCTAAATATGAAAAAGCTCGATATTAAATAAAAATAACAATTTTGGTTTTCCTTTGATGTGCCCCCGTCGGACGGATTCCTTTTGTTTGTTTCAAGTTTATTTTATACAAAAGCTTCGGTCTTTATTTATCGATAGAGGCACTACGAAGTCTGCCGGCTAAGCTAGTAAAATATATAAATCTCAATCTCGACATTAGAACTATAGGGGCGGTTTTTTTTTTTGCGGATGTGGATGTGTTTTTTTTGTGTATTCTATGGTTTTAGATTTAGTGTGGTCAACCGAGATTTGGAAAAAATGGAACGCGAATTTACGTGTTCAGTGTGGCGACATGTGTACGTTATGGTTGTGTGTGATTGTATGTGTGAGCATGCGGCGTCCTCACCGGTGGTGCAGACGGCGGCGGTGTCGGGGTTGCCGGCGACGGACCAGGGCCGCGCCTTGCCGCCCGCGCGACCGCACCCGTTCCCTAGCGCACAAGCCCACGTTACACACACGAGATACACGTTGCCATAATGTAAAAAGCGTATACACAAAACCAAGCGTTCGCGTTTGTGTGAACCACTGTATTTAGGAAGACAATGAATAATTTGTCTGTTTGTATGACAAATATTTTTTTTTATTACTTTGTAGATTAATGGAAGAGCTCTCGGTCCATCCGATGTGGAGTGGTTATACAATGTTTATGATAGCCAGTAAGCGAAACATAAGATTAATGATAGCCAGTAAAACATAAAATTTTACAATGATCATTGTTTATTTCATTCTCATATACTTATTAAAGATTAATTTATTTCACACAAACGCCAACACCTTTACTATAAGTGTTAGATAAATTTGCTGACGTAGCGAGACACGTTTAATTATTACGCAGCAGACAGAGCAAAACGAACACTTTTAAAAAGATTACTAAAAGAAAAATTTGCATTTTCTTATAATTGCACATACACGTGACAAACACAAATATCATTTCTCGTATTAATCACCGCCAAACCAAACCATCCACATAAGCTTTGCAAGCTATTTTCAAAAGTTTCCACAAGTTTTACAAATGAACACATTTTGTTAAAGAACAGCTATATTTTCATTTATAGCCGTATATAAGAAGCAGATGTGCCCACAGTCTATCTGATGTTAAATAGAGACGGGAGTCTCCGTTTTTTTTTTTGAAGTGAAACTTCCTTATCGGCGTTGGAAAAAAATTTACCGTCACGTTTTTCGGTTACGCGTCACATTTTTCCGTTACGCGCCATCTGTTTTGTATTCATGTCTATGATAATAAAATCCTTTTGTTTAAACTTTATCTAATTTAACTTTTTTGTATTCATGTCTATGATAATAAAATCCTTTTGTTTAAACTTTATCTAATTTAACTTTATTTAACCAATTTCTAGAAAGTTGCATGTAGATCATTTTTCGAAAAATAAGGCTATAAATAAGTTTCACTTCTTACGTGTGTACACTAGTACACGCACACATTTTTTTGTAACAGCGACTTCCTGACCGTTTGTCGCATTAAATGAATGCTTTGCAGTAAAAATAGGGCCTACGGTGTTACATAGTTCGGACGTAGATATCATTATATGTAAATGCTAATATTTACACAAAGAAAAAAATTTTTTTTTTATAGTTTAGGTGGTTGGACGAGCTCACAGCCCACCTGGTGTTAAGTGGTTACTGAAGCCCATAGACATCTACAACGTAAATGCGCCACCCTTCAAACCGAAACGCATTACTGCTTCACAGCAGAAATAGGTAGGATGGTGGTACATACCCGTGCGGACTCACAAGAGGTCCTACCACCAGTAATTACGCAAATTATAATTTTGCGGGTTTGATTTTTATTACACGATGTTATTCCTTCACTGTGGAAGTCAATCGTGAACATTTGTTGAGTACGTATTTCATTAGAAAAATTGGTACCCGCCTGAGATTCAAACACCGGTGCATCGCTCAACACGAATGCACCGGACGTCTTATCCTTTAGGCCACGACGACTTCATTATTCGACGAATTAGATTATTCTTAGAGATTTTGAAGTTGCAATAAAATGTAGTTTCATTGTAGCGCAACATAAAATTATTTCGTGTTAGACTTAACCCTTTTTGGATTCATCAAATCACGATTTGACTTAGTGGACTCGACCAAAATTTTACAAACATAATGAAATTTATTAGAAATGGAATTACCAGTAGCCATAAGTTCTGAACATAGTTGTCTCCGTCCTCAGAGGTGAGCTAAGTGGGCGTTGTCTTCTTCACTTGATCCCATATTATGTGGATTCGGTGCGGCGTGTCTTCTTATCATGATGCATAGGGATTTAGCATGAGTTGTACGATCAACCATCTGTCTGACCTGTCTGTAGCCTTTTACGACCACCATAGGAAGATCTCAGTCGATTCAATTCTGAAATCGCATTTAGTGTTAATTGTCTCGTCACTCACCCATCGTGTTGACATTGTCGGAGGACCTAGACGGCGGCGGAGTGGTTGCCGGTTTTGCTCCTACGTTGTCGGAAGACTTGCAGCGGGAAACGTCTGGAGGATTTGTGAAATACGTGTATGGAAAAAGCGTAGAATTAATTATTAAAATTAATTAAATTTAAAATAAAAAAAAACTTACCGCACTCGAGCAAAACGGGCGTACTCTCCCCGGACGTAACGCTGTACCTGAAATCATCCATGTTCATTTTAGATACATTTCATTGCACATAAGATGACATATTATATTAGAGGTGTCAAAAAATATTAACACTTTAGTTTAAAAAAAAACTACAATAATGCTTCCTGTCTCGTGGATAATAGTTGTACAGCGGCACAGAGTTGTAAACAGATCAGTGATAGCCTCGAGAGGCTATTTCAGTTTCACCCTAGCGTGTAGGTGAGCTCTCGGGGCTCAAACCTGGATGTGTTGCTAGCAGTGGCCCCAACAAGAGCAGTGCTTCGCAGAATCTACCACCGGATCGGAAACGCGACCTGCTGAGAAGATCCGGCGAGAAACTCAGTGGGCTGTGTCTATGGGTATTTCATTAGTGAGAATGGTACGACAGAACATTCAAAGGAAGGCGATTGAGAATGAATTTATTTCTAAGAGACCTAAAAGACTAAAATATAGAATATTATTATTATTATTATTTTATTGCTTAGGTGGGTGGACGAGCTTACAGCCCACCTGGTGTTAAGTGGTTACTGGAGCCCATAGACATCTACCACGTAAATGCGCCACCCACCTTGAGATATAAGTTCTAAGGTCTCAAGTGCAGTTACAACGGCTGCCCCACCCTTCAAACCGATACGCATTACTGCTTCACGGCAGAAATAGGCAGGGTGGTGGTACCTACCCGTGCTGACTCACAAGCAAGGGCGGATCCAGGGGGGGGGGTCATGGGGGTCATGACCCCCCCCTGAGCTGGTTCCAGGACCTAGGTGGACCACATATTGAACATAATGATTTAAGGACACAATACTTAGACTGGCCATAAATACTGTTACAATTAAAAATAAACAAAATACATTTGTATTACATTTTAATTTGGAATCTGTCATTTTTATATGATTGCTCATTGAGTTTTCTCATTTTGGCGCCAATACATTGTACAATATTTTGCGATATTAAAATGGAGTGGGGTGATAAAGAAAACCGAATCGCTGTGATTGCATTACGCAAAGTAGGTATGGAGCCAAATGCAATTTTTAAAACTCTCCATACGCTTGGTATTAGTAAAATGTTTGTGTACCGGGCTATTAATAGGTGCAATGAGACCTCCTCTGTTTGTGACAGAAAAATATCTAGCCGTCCACGTAGTGTTCGTACGAAAAAGGTGGTCAAAGCAGTAAGGGAAAGAATTCGAAGAAATCCTGTCCGAAAGCAAAAGATTTTATCTCGGGAGATGAAGATAGCACCTAGAACCATGTCGCGTATTTTAAAAGATGACTTAAGACTTGCAGCCTATAAGAGACCTAGTGGTCATTTCTTAACTGATAATTTAAAAGAGAATGGGGGGTAAAATCGAAACAACTACTGAAGTGGTACGCAAAGGGAGGTCATAGAAAAATTTTGTTTACGGATGAGAATTTTTTTACAATTGAGCAACATTTTAACAAACAAAATGACCGTATTTATGCTCAAAGCTCTAAGGAAGCTTCCCAATTAGTCGACAGAGTGCAACGTGGGCACTATCTGACTTCAGTGATGGTTTGGTGGGGTATTAGCTATGAAGGAGTGACTGAGCCATACTTTTGTGAAAAAGGTATCAAAACACCGGCACAAGTGTATCAAGATACGATTCTTGAGAAAGTAGTGAAGCCCCTTAACAACACCATGTTCAATAATCAAGAATGGTCCTTCCAGCAAGACTCGGCGCCAGGTCATAAAGCTCGGTCTACGCAGTCTTGGTTGGAAACGAACGTTTCGGACTTCATCAGAGCTGAAGACTGACCGTCGTCTAGTCCCGATCTTAATCCGCTGGATTATGATTTATGGTCAGTTTTAGAGAGTACGGATTGCTCTAAACGCCATGATAATTTGGAGTCCCTAAAACAATCCGCACGATTAGCAGTGAACAATTTTCCCATGGAAAGAGTGCGTGCTTCTATTGATAACTGGCCTCGACGTTTAAAGGACTGTATTGCAGCCAATGGAGACCACTTCGAATAAGCTTTTTATACTTTAAATTGTTTTATATTTATGTATTAAACTAACACACTGTAAAAGTAATAAATGTTATTTGCAATAGAATTTTTTTTTCCTTTGTCTCAGTATTTATGGCAAGACTAGGTATATTATTGCTCCTTATATTGCTCCTTAATTAATTTAATATAATATAATAACTTTGTATGATGGCAAATGTTTGGGAACGAACGCATCGAAAATTTGCATTTTACCGCGCCACACTCGCGCGCGCTTGTCGACTACGTAACGTCTAGCTAGGCCTAACCTCAAATTGAATCCTAACCTCAATCGGAATCGGAACGACTAAACTTCAACATATCATAACATAGTTCTAAGTTAAAAAAACTAAAATTTCTTTATACCTTTAATGTGCTAAAAACCCACTTTTTACTTGTATCTATTGTTATCAAAATTAAATTATAAGTTCTTGAAAAATTTTTATTAACAAAAAGTCAAATCAAAATAATTCTTGACTTGACCATGACTATGTGACCCCCTCCTGGCACCAAAGCTGGATCCGCCCTTGCTCACGAGAGGTTCTACTCCTGGAGGTATAATAGAAGAGAAGGTTAGGCAATCCAGGCGTCTTAGTAACAGAAATCGACGTAATTACTTCAGTGCGCCGCGTAGGGCACCGGTGACCTATATGGCAGTCAAAGGGTTAAAGAAGGTATTAAATAAGGTGCGGTTACAGCGTGTCGTCCCGGTGCGAGTCGCGGCGCGGCGAGGGCGAGGCCAGCGACGAGAGCGAGTGCAGGGAGCGCGACGTGCGCGACAGGGACGGCTCCTCGCTGCCGGGCGGCGTGCGGCACGTGCGCCAGAACTCCTCCAGCCCCTCGTCCATCTCCTGCGCGCCGTCCGCCACGGGCCGGCTGGGCGCGCGCGTCTTCGCACGCCGCGGCCGACCTGCGCACAGCGGGACCCCTCTATAGTGCGTGCACAACTCTAGTGCGGTCCGAGTTAGTTGCGAAACATCACACGGACGAGTTTGAGTTTGTTTAATTCATAAACAACTCCTCGTAGCTTAATTTTTTTAAATATCTTAAATATGTAGTCGTCTATTATCAAAGGTGGCAATCTGTGCATTTGGACAAAAAAATGTTATTGATATGTCAATACAGATTGATTTGAATATAATCGTCTCCTTCAAAGAATACGGTTCAAAACCTGCATTAAATGAAGGTTAATACTTAACCTGTTATTTATCTAAGATGTCGTTCAGAAGTTTTGTGACTGCCAATGGAATATAAAGTCAATAATTCGTTTTTCTGATTTACCAATAATTGTCCAAAAGTCACATTGCCGGCTTTGATAATAGTTGACTCATGTATCAATAAACATGTCTGTGAAATTTATTTAGAAATAAATAACACATTTTTATTTACTTTTACAAATAAACGTTTTGATTGTATCATAAATTTTTGGCAAGTGTTCTGTCAATGTATTAATTGATGTAGATTATTTTTTAAGTTATAAATTTTTATATTCACTTGAGCAATGCAATAAACTATTGTATCACAATTTGAATTATGACGTATTAGTGTTACGATTGATAAAGTTCTGAGTTTGTCATTTGTCACGTTTGAGTGTTAAAAGTTTGCAGATTAACAAATGAAAGTCCGGTGGAGACTTTAATGATGCTATGAATGAAACAGAAGAATTTCTTGAAAGTGAAAATACTGAGGGAATAAATGAACAATTTTTAGAAAATACAAGAACTGTAAGACCGCAGCGGAATTGAAGACCACAAGACAGATACAAAGATTTTATAATGGACTAGGTGTACCCGTCCGCGTCGCTGGGCATTTAAAATTTAAAATTATTATTTCTCACCCCCACGATTCTCATCATTAACGCCCCCGCAACTGGTGTAGGGAGTCCAACACTCATATAAATATTAGCCTATCCATTAAGTACATGTATTATCTACATGGATACCAAGTTTCAAGTCAATCGGATGCACGGTTCAGTAGTTATAACGGAACGTCCGTAAAACCACTGTAGATTTATATATTAGTATAGACAAGAACTGGAAGAACGCTGCGGAACAGAAGACAACCAAACAGATACAAATATTCTATAGTGGAAGATGGAGAGTTGTCTTTATGCGCACCTTTGACGAGATGTCGGAGCGTGTGTGCCGGTAGGTCGGCGAGTCCGTCGGTGGCCTCGGCGTGCAGCGGCGGCAGGGACAGCATCTCGTTACTGCTGCACTGCTGCTCCGCCACGGACTTGGGCCGCACGCGCCGCCCGCCGCGCTCCCGCCGCCGCCCGCCCAGCGGCGTCGCCTGCCACACGCGCCCCACTCAACTCATTACCTAACCACGACATTGCTGGCTAATGCGCGCTTCCCACGACCTCAACCTGTATGCTTTTTACTGGTGAGTCCGCACGGGTAGGTACCACCGCCCTGACGTGAAGCAGTAACGCGTTTCGGTTTGAAGGGTGGGGCAGCCGTTGTAACTACATTGAGACCTTAAAGCTTATGTCTCAAGGTGGGTGGCGCATTTGGGTTGTAGTTGTCTATGGACTTCAGTAACCACTTAACACTAGGTGGGCTGTGAGCTCGTCCACCCATCTAAGCAATAAAAAAAAGCTCAACGTTTATCAATTTATAGCATAGACTACAAAACGAGATAAAACGTGACATCTTTGTATGCGCCAAACGCTAAGTCGATATTAACGTACTTTTTCGGGAACTCAAAACTTTATATGCCGAAAGCCTGAAAAACTCGCACGTTTCAATATCCACAAAGACAATTAAAAAAATCTTACCAAATTCAAGTAATCCAATTTCTATGTAGCATGAACAAATGAAACATAATTATGATCTGTAGCTCTCAAACACATAGCGTTGTAGAGCGACTTTTTGGCGGGAGCGCGAGGAGTGATGTTGTGTGATTTGTTTTATTTTGTCTATTTAGTGTTTGATCAGGTTTAAATGTGTAATAACGGTGGTTTATTAACTGTTTAGAATCTGCGAAAGTGGACAAATGTGGGAAAACGAAACAAAACCACTGAGCGTAACTTCTCGGGATCCTCCAAAAAGTCCACTGAAAAAACCTTAGTAAATGACCACCATTTACTGAGATTATATTTCATCTCATATCATCTCATTTCATCACTCCATATTACATCTCACTCTGTATTATCATTTTTCATAAAAATAAGAACATAAATTAAAATAAGACATGACTTAAAGGTCTTAGTAACCAGGTCATAAAATCCCTAAAAAAAAAGCGTAGTGCTCAGTTGTAGTCACTTACTCCGGAGTGCGACACGGGCGTCAGTAGGTCGGGCATGTTACCGTCGGCGCCGGTGGCCGGCTCGCTGTCCGCGCTGTCCAGGTTCTCGCAGGCAGTCAGCGCGAGGCTCTCTACAGCTTGACTGCAAGAACGTATTCAAAATTAACTATTTTGACCGGTAATAACAAATCTTGAAACAAAACTCTTGCAAAGCAACTTGAGATATGAGCCTGAATACCAATTCATTTACATCACGCCAGAGTAACAAAATTATTGTATTGATATCGGTCCCCGATACGTGTGGAAGCTTTCAAGTTAATAGGTCGACTTAAACTTGGTGCAAATTAGGTTAAGTTATGCCGGACGAGTAACACAATCTGTCGTATAGCAAAAATAAATATCTAACTACTAGAAGATTCTCGAATGTTCCAATTGTATCGAGTATTTTCCTGAGCAGTTATATAGATAGATCAAGCTAATAAAATCTTATTTAAAATAAAAATGTTTACTTGACTTTGTTTTTACTATATATTTCTCAGACTAATAGCTCCATAATAATAAATCTTAAGTGAAATTCAATAAAAAAATATATATGTCGGTAAATAAATATCAAACTACTATGACAATGATTACCATAAGTGTTTAGTAGGTATTCAAAATCATAGATTTGCAGAATTATTGGCAAGCGAATATGACGCCAATATTTGAATTTTTATTGTATACAGACATCAAAACTATAAATTGCTAAAGTTTATTTTACAAACAGACTTTAAGCAACACTGTAATAAAAATTACAATTATAAAAAAAAAATACACACTTGAGCAAATCTTGGAGCGTGTTGCTGCACGGCGCCATCGCGTCCCGCACGGCTTGCAGCGAGACGAGTTCGCCGCCGGACGTGGCGCCTCCCATCGCAGCGAACACTTCACTGCACCTCTGTAACACGTTTATTAGAAGTTGCTAATAAATACAGGTGTATATTACCGATTACCTTGCACTAGTATTAGTACCATTCGGGCCAAGCCAAAGAATCAGTAATTTTTATCAACTTGAGATTTTCATTCTAAAATTTATAAAATGCGATCATTTGTACGGAAGATAAAAATTTTCTAGTTTTTAAGATATTTTATAACCTTGATAAAAACTACAACTTTCTGTTGGATTTGAAAACAAAGGCGTTCAGTCTGGCTAAAGGGCCACGCGGCTCACTTCCATACGTGTTTTGTTTGTCTGGGGCTTGTAGGAAGCGTTTACGTTGGAACCCTCACGCGGTTCACGGGTGACCCTCTTCACCCGAAGGCTCAAGTACCGTGGCCTGAATTAAAATTCTCGACGTTGAACATGTTAGGAGTTATTCTAGTGCGATTCTCACCTGTAGGTACTGGTGCAGCAGGTGATGCGCGGCGGCGGCGGCCCGCTCGAGGGCGGAGGCGAGGGGCGCGGGGGGCAGCGCGGCGGCCGCCTGCGCCGTGAGCACCGCCGCCGCCGCCGCCGCGTCGCCCCCCGCCCACGCGCGCTCCAGGGCCAGCGCGCGGACGCGGGCCGTCTGACCGCTCCTCTTGTTGTTCGCCAGTCTTGACACACTCAGTACCATTAGCAACTTCGTCTAAGACGACAAGCGGGATATTAGACTAAAGATGAATACTGTCGAACGAATATTCCAATCACAAATTTGGTGGGCTAGACGTAGGTGTAGTCGAAAGCGTAATACAACCGGTGCAATTATCAAGCGATATGAAAAATCGAGGCGTAAATTTTATATCTTGGGTGGCGATATTCATTACAGTAGGCGCGCGAGTTCATGTCCATCCTGAGGAATGTGGTAGTGCTGTGACCTAGTCAATTATGGTAATGTCGATAATAACTACTTAGTCAACAGCTGTCAATGGTTTAATGTAACTTAAGGTAATTTTGTAATTTATGAAATAAACTAAATGTGATAGATAAGTAATTACTTGCTTATTTCTAATGGAGAAAAACATTTTTTAAATTCCAATTCAATCACTATCAAATGAAAAGACAACCGACAGATCAGAGTCGGAATCAGTAAGTTTCTTTTTTCTGTAGGTTTTTTTCTACCTGAATTTGTTGGAAGCGGAGTAGTCATGGTTAAATAACACAATAGCGTTAGCGTAAATTTTCGATATCGATAAGCGCGCGTCACAACCGACAAGGACAACACTCGACGTCAGACAAATGCGGGGAGGTGGGCGGTGGGGCGAGTTGTCCCCCGCGCGTCGCCTCTGGCCCCGATGGACATGAACTCGCGCGCATACAGTAGATGGGCCTTAAAGTGTGCGGTGGTCTGGTTGTGCCTCTAGAATCGCCTACCTCTAACATCACGGAAAATCTTGTTTTTTTTAAAGTTTAAATTGAACCTTAATGGAACCTCTTTGTTAGAGCATGTTTTAATATTGCTGGTTTAGGGACCTATCCGTGTGGTTCGGAGTGACAATAGTGGCGAGTACCGTTCGTGCAAGTCCCTCCAGAGCGCGGCGACCCGCTCGCTGGCCGCGCGGCCGCCCGCCGCCGCGTCGCATCCCGGGAACTCGACGCGCCGCACGCTCACAGACCGACGGAGCGCCGTCGCAATGTCAGTCAAACCTGCCCAGAGTTAAGACTGGTATACATAATTATCTTCGAACAGCCGAAAATATATGTAGACGTTGGTTCTATTGGTAGTCCTCCTCTATAGTCCTCTCGCTGTTTTTCTCCACCTATCTTCTACCCGGTGTAGAGAGCTTCGTTAATCTGACTTATCTGATCAGACCACCGCTTTGGGCTTCGGCGTCATGGGTTTTGTTTTGTCATGGTAAGGTCGGACCGTATCGGATCAGTAGCGGTTAACAACTTTGACGCTCCTTAGGTGCAAAAACACATATATTGACCCATTTGCAGAGCAAATTCCGGAAGTATTTCTTAATGGTAACATAGGCAAAAGTGTACTCAAGCTTTTCGAAAGCTTTTGCTATTAAGTCGATCAGCAGGATACACAAGCCAATAACTGAATGAGCGTATTGGAAACTGCACTATCTATGACTGATCCACTCAAGATATTTTAATAAGAAAAATTTTCATGGCTCAGTTTTCACAAACGTTACCTTAGAAACACTGATTTGAACTTACCTTGTAAACTAAATGCATTGCGATCTATATACAGCGTGTGCAAAGTACAGTTACACTGTAAGGCTTTGGCAAGTAATCTAGCTCCCGCGTCGCCGGCTAGGTTCCCTCCCACGTCCAGTGTACGAAGTCTCCGGGCTCCGCCCAACGCGTTCAATAATCCGTACAAATCACCCTGTATGTTGATAAAAGGCGTTTTTGTAATAAAATAACGTCAGTAGCAGAACTATTCCAACTGCTAGCTCTAACGTCACGCGAGAAAATAAATAAATGTGCCACAAGTCAATGCGGACGATCGCGTGTCTCTATAGCTTGTTCCGCGCTCTCGCTTGCACGCTCAGGCTCAGGCAGAACGTGACACTTTTTCGTGCGTGCAGCCGGCGTTCATTGATTTATAAGGCATCATCACGTAAAAAAATACCGGGTATGAATTAATTTGTTTCAAATTTTGAAACGTACATATAAATGAAATCATTTCTCAATAAGATATTTACTCCACAATTTAACTCTATCAAACTCTATCCTTTATAATTTTACGTCCTTTTTTGGTACCGGGTAATTTTATGCTGAATTTTAATTGTACTGAGCTTTATTACCTTCAGTTTGCAATCGCTGAGATCCAGTGACGTCAGCGCTGTGTCTGGTTCCTGCAGCACGTGGACTAGAGCCTGAAAGATAAATCCACAGCATTACGCAACGCCGATATCGAACACAACTACGGAACAATAAACAGTTTTACACGTACTTGTATTAGGGGGGGAGCGTATGATCTCTTCCCGGTCAATCTACTTAACGATAAATGTGTGATGGAATGGTTCTTCCCTATAGCTCTCACAATACCGGACAATTCGAATTCCATACCTGTAATAAGTTTTGTTTGCATTACTTGTGTGTACTCGCTTACACAACGTGTTACAATAGTTCGAAAAAAAAAAATTCTCGCACATCGACAAACAAATTCAATGGATTAAATGTAAAAACACGTGTTTTAAAACTAAAAACAAGCTTAAATAGCAAGCCATTTTTTTTATCCTGTTGATACTGATCAGGATATTCTAGCGAAGTTATATATTTTTTTCATCCGTCCTTGAAACTTATTCTAATTTTCAAGTTAATAGGACATCATAACGTCTGCGAAAATGAAGTTCATAGATTCCATTACATACATAACAAGCTCATAAAAGCGTGCTGGTAAGAAAGCCAAACTTGAGCGTAAAATTATCAATGATATTGTGAAGCTGTGCGAGCATTAAATGCAAAGGACAATACTTAATAACGAATCGCGTAAGGCCACGCTTTGACTATGACTAAATTATTAAAAGGCAGTAATTTGTTAAGAGCTACTCGCACTCCACCTATCCAACATTTATGGTAGCATTGCAATTTTGGAGGATAAGGATCAGTGGTCATTGTGATATTAATAGGAAGTGAATTCCCAAATTGAACAGACTGAACTAAGAAAAACGAACGAACCAGACTAGAGTTGTGCGTGGGACAGTGACAGAACCCAGGTCCTTATCGTGCAAAAAATGTAAATATTTAAAATACTGCGTCAAATAGGAGGGATGAATAGACGAACGAATATCGAAGGATCTAGTAGCACCTAAAACGCTCGAGAAGTACAACGCCATCTATTGTCAGATAGCGGAAACACAACACTCGAAATGTGTGTAATATTCTCGATAATTCTAGGGATTTCGTCTCGACTATAAAAGCGTTGCAGAGATGGCACGCAGTCAGTTAGTAATCGGAACTACTCGAAGCGAAACAGCGAACGGATCACCTGAAGCGAAGCGGAAGAAACGAATTGAGAATATCAAAGTGTTTGTGAAGTGTTTTAAGTGCTAATACAGTTTTAATTTATACTTCGGTGGAATTTTATTGATTGTGTTTCTACTTCTATGTTAACAATAAAAATAAAAAATCGTACTGTTGTCGGAGAGGTCCAGGGACTGCAGGCATCGCACGCCGTGTATACACGACTCGAGCACGTGCGCGGCCTGCGCCGAGTTCAGCACGCCCGACAAATTCAGCTGGACCCCGGCCGCGCTCTCGTTGCACGCCAGGCCCAGCAGCAAGCTCCTGCAATGTAACGTCATTTGTAATCCCGCAAACAAACATAATGAAGCCTACTGACAATTTACTACCTAAATGTCTAACTGTATTGTATAGCGTTATAAAGGGTTGTTTAAGTGATATTGCAACAATTTTTATTAGCCGACTTCAAAAAAGGAGGAGGTTCTCAATTCGAATGTATGTTTTTTTTTATGTTTGTTACCTCATAACCTTTGGCTGGGTGAATCGATTTTGAGGATTCTTTTTTTATTAGAAAGCTGATGCTTCCCGTGTGGTCCCATTTCAATTTAATCCAGTTCTGATAATGGTATCCATGAGATAACCATATTAGTCTTAAATTTGCATTAAGTACGTACGCCACAAATAAATGAATAACTCAATAACTCAATACCACGTCAACCGATTTCGGTGATTATTGTTTTTAGTCTATATTAATTTGTTTTGGAACATATTTTTTTGTATTTGAAGTCGGTTTTTGTTAAATCATGTCTATTTACAATTATTATATTTTAAAGGGTATTCGATGACATTATATATGGGATATAATTCAAACAAATGGCCGCCTCGATTCCGCTATAGCTGTTGTATCCTGGTGGGCCAATTTTGTATGACAGCTTCGCATAAATGGGGCTCAATTTCACGAAGACCGCAAGTTATTAAATTTAATGTTTCCCATGCTGTATGGCAAGTGGCGCCGTTCTGTTGGAACCACATGTTTGTGAGATCCATACCATCTATCCTAGGCCACAAAAAGTTTGTTATCATCGTCCGATATCGGTGAGCACGGCTTCTTGCGCATATGCGAAGAAATAAGGGCCGATGATACCGCCGGACAAGGGTGTAGCGTTCCATGGTGAAATGACACGACTAAATATGTGTTCATGCCAAATTTGACAAACATTGCTTTACCGTATTTGCTCTACCGTATGTTCTATGGGAAGTGCTCTGAGGATTTCTTTGAAATGATTCCATCATCTCGTTTCTCCATTGCACCGCCCGCCATCGAAGTAGAGTTCATCCATACTACCTGAAGCCACTGCGTTCATCCAAAGTGCGTTTCCAGAGATCTTTTTTACCACGTACCATCCGGCTTTGGAATGAGCTCTCCTCCACGGTGTTCCTCGAGCGCCATGACATGTCCTTCTTCAAACGAGACTTGTGGAGAGTACTTAACGGTAGGCAGCGGCTTGGCTCTACCCCCGGTCATTGCTCACGTCCATGGGCGACGGTAACCACTCACCATCAGCTGGGCCGTAAGCTCTTTTGCCTACAAGGGGATTTAAAAAAAACAAGATGGCCGCCATGAGCTGTCAAAATTCAAGCGTCCCTATTGAAAAATCCTATGTTATGACTTTTTGGAGAGAACGCGAGGAGTGAAGTTGTGTGATTTGTTTTATTTTGCCTATTTAGTGTTTCTTTATGTTTAAAGGGGTAATAACGGTGGTTTATTAACTGTTTAGAATCTGTGAAAGTGCACAATTGTGGGAAAATGAAACAAAACCGCTGGACATAGCTTCTCGGGATCCTCCAAAAAGTGCAGTGAAAAAGTCTCAGTAATTGACCACCATTTTACTGAGATTATTTATTTCATCACATATCATCTCATTTGTAAATTTAATTCGTTTTTAATCATTTACGTTATATTGTCGATAAGTTTCCTTCGTTTTCTATTATTCATAAACTGTAAATAATAGTGAAGAAGAAGAAATCCTATACGTATTACAATTATACTTTAGACCCTTTTTTAAGTTACACACTTGAGCACGTCCGGTGGCATTTTGCAGTGGGAGAAGTCGAGATGGTTGATCGCGAGGCACGCCGTGAAGAATTGTCGGAAGGAAGGCGGCGGGTCCCGCGCGCGCCGGGCGCTCGACCACGGGTTGCGGGACACGGACAGCCAGGTGAGGCGCGCCGCACACCCGCGCAGCAGGGCACCCCACATCTATGTTATGATGACAATCAGTTATTTTCGCTACTACCTCCAATTGAACCATTAAATTTATAGTTAGATAATTTCAAATAATCATCAAATTTTAAATATCTTATTTTAATTTTTTTTATTAAATAATTGAAAAAAAAAAAAAATGGGGATTCGACTTTATGATTCTAAATATGTATATGATAAGACCACAACTTGAGGCACTAAAATTATCAATACATTAAAAAACTGTCGGTAATATTTTAGAATAGGGATGTAATATGACATAACCAGAAGTTCAGTTGTCAAAATATAATATTATTATTATATTTTCTTATCTTGTTCTTCTCATATAGTGTATGATAGAAACGACATAAAAATTTACTCATCTTCTCCCACGACAAGTAAGAAAAATATTTCTGCACAAATTGTGTTTCTATTTTCATTGTAATATAATGAATATATTAAATACTTAATTGAAATATATTAAATTAAAAGTAACGACGAACAATAGGTCTCTATCGCAGTCTTAGCCGCGATAAATTTGGATTCGACAGCATTAAACAAAACCTTAATTGCCTGTGTTGTCGAAATAATTACTTTTTAAGCTCCAAATTGTTTATTGTCCAACCTAATCTCAAAGACGATGGAACCAATTCAGATAACACTCTTATAGGCAGGTAAGAATTTGTAAGCTGTGGAGACGTAATTGAGATATTTTTTTTTATAGCAAACCTTAGGCAAATTTTAACGCAAAATGGAGCAAACGCTAGTGGAAAATGCAAACTCAAAAATATAATACAACGCTGTAAGAACACAATTTATAAATTTAAAGCAAAAAAAAAAAACTAGGAATCTAGTTAAATACTTACATTTTCTAAAGTTGTTTCCGTGTTAGTCAAATTCAAATGGGTCAATACATTAGGCTGTGCCAGGAAGTTGTACAAATTCTGTAAAAACAATTTAAACGTACTGAATTTAAAGGATATTCGTATGTAACGGTCATAGCTATACATTTGTTTATCGATGTATCAGTAAACTTACGTGCACGTCATCTTTCAGGTTATTATGCGACAGGTCAAGGTGTGCGAGCGTCGAGAGATGACAGGGATTGTCGTTGAGTATGGTCGCCAAATGTACGACCGTCTTCCCCGTCACGCCGCATTGTGACAACGCAACGTGCCTCAGTCCTTCTGGATTGTTCGATATGCCGCTCAGTATACTAATAGCACCTGTGCGAGATATCAATATGATTCGTCTTCTCGCATTAAAACTGTATAATCTCAAAATTTACTAATTTTACAGGAGTGTTGTAAAGTTTACATACATGTATTAATACTTTTAATATTATTCATATTTGCAACTTTTTTTTTTACCAGTTTCATTATCTGTTTTTTAAAGTAAGATAAAATTATGTATTAATTTTGTTAACAGTAGTCAAAACATAGGTAAGCTAAAAAAAAACTAAACTGCGCTCTTTTGACAGTATTTATGTGAAAAATACTGGTGATACCAAATGATTCCGCATATTAACTAATTTTCGAATATTTTTGGAAATTGTACACTTTTAATGCGAAAAGGCGATATATTTCTTTTATGACACGCTTCAGTCTATAAATAAAACTAAAACAGATTTATTTTTGTATTTGTTTGGTTCGTCCACTGCGTAAGTGGACAATGATTTAATCGCTCAATAAGGCAGGATGTGGATCATGTGCCGCATACAATAGCTTACTCTGGAAATCTATTCTTGATATTGTTCAATTGATCTTTTCAATGGTTGATGCTAAAAAATGTGAACATCTTTTTAATTCAGCAACAGTTTATTTATAAATGAATTCGTTTTCAATTAAATTCGCGCGTTATCTCTTTATCTTTTACTATCGAAAATTACCTATTGCTTCCATTGTATTATAACAACGGCAACTCAATGAAATGTCAAATATTGTATGATCATTATTAACGGATTAAATGACGCCATTGAATTAATTATAGTGGGCGAGAATCTTTCAAACATAATGGTCTAAATGAAGACAATGCATGCATTGTTTTCCAAAGTATTAATTGTCCGATACATAGATTGCAAAGTAACATTATTGAAAAGGACTACGTCATTGGGACAATGACGAATAATATTATTGAACTATTTTTTTAGAGGAAATATACTGTGGTGTTTTGTTCTTCATATCTTCCCTGTTACATAAAATAGCCAAAAGCATTGAGAAGTTATAATCTTTCATTGTTGTTTATGATCAACAACAAAAACAACAAGGAAAATTTCGCAGATAAAATATTTGTATCGTATGGACATGACATATTTTTGGATATACGCTGGTCATTTCAGTAATGCTCTTATTTTCGATTCGATCCTTATTCTCCTGTTGTAAATTCAAGTAAAAACTTAATGAGTTTTCTTCGTCTTTTTTTATTTTTCTTACCAATTTGACAAACCTCGCATTGAACTGATTTACATACCTACAATTAATATTTGATTTGCCAATAACATTATTATCAATTATGGCTAGGTTTTGTTGCTTGTGAATCAAATTATTGTTTCCTGTGGCATATAACATTTACCTTTGTAATTTACCAGATGTGTATCCTTATGTTTAACAAGTAATAATTTAAGGACGAATCCAAGGCTAGAAGTACACGAATGTGGTGTGAATACAAACGACATGACTCTTTGAAGGTTAAGATTCTTGAAGAGAAATATTCATCAGTATTTCATCCTACCCACCAATACAAAAGGCTTGAGTATTTTTTACCGTGTTTTTTTCCTACCTAAGCTGAGAGCCTTTAGAGGCTATTTCAACGTGACCTTAACTAGTAGGTGAGCTCACGGGGCTCAAACCTGTCGAAGTTGCTAACACGAACACTAGCAAGAGCCGTGCTTCGCAGAATCTACCACCGGATCGGAAACGCGACCCACTGAGAAGATCCGGCGAGAAACTCAGTGGGCTGTGAGTGAGGGTTAATTTACTCGTCGAGCCTTTCGTCGCAAGCGACGGGTTCGACGAGAACGATGACCGGTGCTTGAGGTACCTAAAAGCACTGTTAGTGGATAGGGAGGCTGTAATGACGTGTTTGGGGCGACGTCGACTGCTTTCCATTCTGTCTGCAGGATCGGGAATGTAGTTACCGGCGGCCACGACGAGAGGGTTCTCGTGTCGTGCCGTTTTATCGAAGTGGACGCTCTACCATGAATCGAGGAATGCGTCTCCGTACCTTTATCCTCGATGTGGTTCTGTGAGAAGTCGATGGTGTGCAGTGCGGGCGCGTGGCGGGCGCGGGCGAGCGCGTGTCCCAGTCTGGCGGCGTGGTCGTGGCGGAGCTGTGCGCTGCGCCAGCTGACGNGCCACGACGAGAGGGTTCTCGTGTCGTGCCGTTTTATCGAAGTGGACGCTCTACCATGAATCGAGGAATGCGTCTCCGTACCTTTATCCTCGATGTGGTTCTGTGAGAAGTCGATGGTGTGCAGTGCGGGCGCGTGGCGGGCGCGGGCGAGCGCGTGTCCCAGTCTGGCGGCGTGGTCGTGGCGGAGCTGTGCGCTGCGCCAGCTGACGCGGCGCGTGGCCGGCCGCGAGCACCGCAGCGCGCGGCACACGCTCTCCCACGCCTCGCCGCTCGCCCGCACCCCGTCCCCGCAAATACCCTCGAACCACGTGTTGTGTTGCAACGCCATCACTAGTGGTATCAGGTCCCTGATCCACAATTATTTCCATATAATAGATATCTTGTGAAAATAATAATAGAAATGCTGGAATTTCCTTCAAATTTACAGATTTCTCAAAAAACAAACTGATTAAGTTCAAATAATATTTTCGTCGGAGTTCTAGTGACCTCGAGGTATCCTACTATATAGATTCACTGAACGAGTAGGTGAGCTCACGGGACTCTAACCTGTGGACGTTGCTAACACTAGCCCTAGCAAGAGTAGTGCTTCGCAGAATCTACCACCGGATCTGCGGTTTTGGCAAGTTTTTTTTATTTTTTAAATTGCTTAGATGGGTGGACGAACTCACATCCCACCTGGTGTTAAGTGGTTACTGGAGCCCATAGACATCTACAATGTAAATGCGCCACCCACCTTGAGATATAAGTTCTAAGATCTCAGTATTAATTACTACGGCTGCCCCACCTTTCAAACCGAAACGCATTACTGCTTCACAGCAGAAATAGGCGGAGTGGTGGTAGCTACCCGTGGGGGCTCACAAGACGTCCTACCATCAGTCGAACGATACAGTCGTCACGAAAACTGTATAGTATTCGAAACTTCAAAAGTTTTCATTTTAAAGTATGTAGTTTTAGTTAAGTTCGAATTAGTTTTAAAATCACTTAAAAGTTTTAATGATAACGTTAATTTTAAAAATCACATTTCAAAACCAACATTCATAGTTATAAATCAATTCTATTTAGTTTTATTGTATTAAACTACATATTGCTACGTAGCTTTATTTTTCTCGACTTTTATTTTGTTTTTATTCATAACAAATTTTAACAAAGTTTGGAGACTACAGTATGACGAATTCAAGTTACCTTTGGTCCAGATGATCGAAATCTTTCAAATGCAACATTCTTATGTCGTGTGCTAGGTATATGGTGTCAATATCCCACGCAACTTCAGCTCTACAAAATATTGATCAAAACAATTATATAATCAATGTGATGCAGACATCGAAAACAATTTTTTTTTTAAATCTTACCTGAATGGTGTTTGACATAAATCACACATGGCAGCGTACTGATTAGAAAAATCACCACAAGCTAGGTGCTTCCTAGTCCCGCTGACGTTTTGTAATGGAAAGAGTAGATTGACCTGTTTCAAAGCGAATAATCAAAACTTAGAACGAACATATTCGAGCAGATACGAATCTTATTCAAATAAAAACAAAAAATGTTTCTTATTAACATGGAATACAAAGTATTTTAAACGATATAATTATAGCCGTAATTGAGTGAGCAATCAAGCAAATCAACACTGCAGTGACGTAGGTAGTGAGGTTAAATAGTATGGATAAACGTTATAAATTGGAGCACAGAACGTGTTGACTCATTAGCGTAGTGTGCACTAACCTTTTGTATTATATCCACCATTGGCACATTAGGAAATAGATCATCGAAGGCGGCAGTTAAAGCGTTCACGGCATTTATAACACCTTCTGAAGTTCCTTCGTCACCTGTATTAGCACAATTAAATAATAGAATGTTGATCAAATAACGAATAAATAATTTTTAAATATCTAATATATAAAATTCTCGTGTCGCAGTGTTTGTTGCCAAACTCCTCCGAAATAGCTCAACCAATTCTCATGTAATGCTGTGTGCATATCGGGTAAGTCTGAGAATCGGTAAACATAATTTTTTTATACTCCTAAATGTTAAGGTTGGTCCACTACGTTTGCCGGGTCAGCTAGTAAAGCTATAAGAAACTATTGAAAATTACCGTACTACTGATAGTTACATCAATAAACAAGTTGAACGCCGGACTAGAAACCAAATTTAGCCCAGTGGACCGCGGCTGACAACCTGTGACCGCCAATAAAAAGGGTGCAGGGGGCCGCGACGGACATATAGCCTCTCAAGGCTATCAGCATAGGTAGAAAAATAAAGGAAAAATCATGCCGTAGATACCATCACGGCGTTCAACATGTTAAGCATTGTTTTTAAATTCCTGGTTCGAACGCGATCGTGTAATTACCTACATTCCCGATATCTAACACATATTAGTACATAACACAGTAACTTAATAACTTGCTATTACTGTAATTTTAGTATTATATTTTTCTAATTTTTTTATTGCCCTTGTAGGCAGACGCATACGGCCCACCTGATGGTAAGTGGTTACCGTCGCCTATGGACTTCAGCAAGCCAAGCCGCTGCCTAATAACCAATAACTTAATAAGTAATGAATGTACAAAAGAAAAAAGGACAGGGAAAATAAACTTCGAATATATTTCCTGCTTAATTATCACGTATCGATTTGTAAACGCTAACCGAATTAATTTACTTACCTATGAGAATGGAGACAGGCTTGTGTTCGTGAACCAATGTTATGGACAGATGATTCGCTTTTTTACTCTCCAAGGCTTCTATTTCCATTAAATGGAACCCATTGTCAATCTAACAAAAATAACCCAAGGTCGTATTAATTAACGTTACTGGTTTTTTTTTTAACAAACAATTGACCGTTGTTCAACTAAATTAGCTTCACAGTTGGCACTAAAAAGGATATAGTTAATCAAATGGCTTTGATGACACAATTTTTTTTTTAAGTTTTGTACACATTTTGCGATATGTAGCTCTGTCGTCAAATTGATCATGAAGAAAATAGTTGAGATTTAAATGTTACAAGTTTTACTTACCCTAGTAGGTACTTTCGCTGTAGTTATAAAAACCCGATATGCAGTCACAACCTGAAATTTAATTAACTCATTAATATCCCCAAAATATAAAAAAAAGGTGTTTGTTTGCGTTCGTGTGTCGTTTATCATATTGCTTGAGTTTGAAACTTTGTATAATTGATAATAATGATAATAATTGATAATAATCAAAGATTCTTTTAACATAATGTACAATTTTGAGCTATAAAATTCTCACTTAATGGTCATTGTAGTATAATTTTATTATCATTAAACTGGTAACAAAAGTAGGTAGTAAATGTAATACTGGCGTATTGTAGGCTTGTCAGAGTAGGTAACGACCACCCTACCCATTTTGGCCGCTAAGCAGTCATACAGTCTGTCAAGTTCAATGGAACAGTCGATATACAATACAACTGAAAATTCAACCTGGTGTCTCGTGAACATGGCAACATTCCTGGCCTTCAGTACCCACTTAATGCCAAGCGGTGCGTGAAATCGCACAACCATCTATGTAAAAAAATATAAAGATAATTTTCGATATATAGGTATGGCTATATTTTAAAACCATTCAATGCGCCAGTGTGAGTTATTAAGTGATTTTCCATCCTATAATTTGAGCACAGAGCCCTAGTGTCTGTGTGGCATCATTCTTCTTGAACACGTATCAATGTATATTTTGTTATAATATAATCAATCTTTATATTTTTTATGGCTTACAATCTCTTTGTGCATAACACTTAACTGCTAGTAAAGAAAGCCTGTATTGGAGGTCATTTTAATTCATTCAAAGGAACATACAAATGGACTTAGTGCCTAAGAGCAATTTAATACAAATAGAATGACCCCACATGTTGGTCTGCCGTACTGACCACAAACTGTATCTGTATTATATGATTACACATAACATGCTACACACGGACTGCCTAGAGCCGCATGACACACCTAAGTGACTCATATAACGTTTTGTCCGAATTCATATCGTTCACTATCAATATATTGAAACTGTCACATCAGATGAGTAATTGTAAATGGTGACTTGTGTATTACATGTTTTTAGAATTTGATAGTATTTTTTTATTATTCCCATACAGTGATTGATAGTCGTAAGCCATTTTACCTCATTCAAACCTCATGCTGTCTAAACTGGCTTTCATTACTTAGAAGACAAACAACCAAAGGTGCGCTAGAGAAAATAAATATGTGGAGCTCTGGCTCTGCTATAGCCGGGTGGAACGCGTACAATATATTATAGCCAATGAGTTTCTCGCCGGATCTTCTTAGTGGGTCGTAATTCCTCTATTCGGTGGTAGATTTGGCGAAGCACTGCTTTTCCTAGGGCCAGTAATCGCAAACTCCCTCAGGTTGGATCCGTGCGCCCACCTAACAGCCTATGAGTAGCTGGAATAACCCTTTACGCTACCAGCGATTAGTTAGGGGAAAAAATATATATAGCGACCACGGAAGACGGTGTGCCTTTCGAATACGAGTGTTGTTTTACTCTATTTGACTGGCCGCAACTAACGCAGAAAATAGTTCTACCTTGGGTTTTTTTTTCTTTTTATTTCCTACCTAGCCGAGAGCCTTGAGAGGCTATTTCAGCGTAACCTTAACTCGTAGATGAGCTCACGGGGCTCAAACCTGACGACGTTGCTAACACGAACCCTAGCAAGAGTCGTGCTTCGCAGAATCTACCACCGCATCAGACACGCGACCCACTGAGAAGATCCGGCGAGAAACTCAGTGGGTTGTGTCTGAGGATAATTTACTCGTCGAGCCCTTCGTCGCAAGCGACGGGTTCGACGAGAACGATGACCGGTACCTTGAGTAATAACTCAGGTATGGTTAATGAATACTCAATAGAATTATTTTAGTCTATTCCATGACGTTATGTATCGTAGTTTGGTAATCAATTTCATATCTAGCCTTGCTATTACTACGATTACTTTGGTTTTCGTGGGTTTGGCTCACCAAGTATTTAAATGAGCAAGCGATCAAGCTTGAAGGACGTATCGTAGCGGTTATGAAACACCGCTAGGAGAGGGCATAATTCCAAAGTCAAACACTGTATTGCAATAATTACCTCTACAACCAAAGCGTATAATGTATTTCATAAGAGTAAGAAAAACACTGCAAAAATCATAAGGAGGAGAAAAGTTCTAAAACTAATGGCAACTTACCAACCTAGTTTAAGTTAAGTATTATTTATTATGCTTATTTAATGTACATTTGAAATAGCTTTTGACAGGGTAAGTTCTCTGACGCTGTCCAGCCGAGGTCGATTTATTTTCCCTACTATTGTTATAATCATATCGACGCTTGAAAGGCAAACCTGACTAAGCGACAATAACTGCTTTGTACATAAATGAAAGGCAATAACCATATTCGACGAGCAAAAAAAAAATATTTCTAGATCTATTAAAATCATTTCAATCCTACAGCAAGATTCGTTAAAATAGAAATTTATTAGGGTATTTCTCAGGTATATTTTAAATTAATTTCAACTTTAAATCAGTCTACTGTAAAGTTTAAATCTGTCTACTGTCGAGGTGGGTGGCGCATCCACGTTGTAGATGTCTATGGGCTCCAGTAACCACTTAACACCAGGTGGCCTGTGAGCTCGTCCATCCATCTAAGCAATAAAAAAAAATAAAAAAAAGTTCACGCATTGTCGCTTAGTCATGTTTGCCTTTCAAGCGTCGATATGTACTTACTAATTATATACTAAATATTAAAAAATATTATTAGAAAAGTAAGCTTAGAAAAAAACAAACTACAAAATGAGCTCATTGTTAATTGACTCACTTTTTAATCTCTCTGTAATATATTATAATAAGTTTCTAAAATTATTTATTTTTGTAGAAACCTTTTGACAACTATTCTTCATATAATTATCAGCTTACGATATTTTTAATACAGTTGTTGTGATCTAGGATAATTGTAACCTTAATAAGCAATGAGACTAAGTCCATGTTCAAACCCAACAGGTACCTATTTTTGTAAGGAGATCCATACTTAGCATGGTAGAGATGGGCAGCAAGACCATACCTATCCACATGGGCTAACAATGCATTCTACCACCAACAATTATGCAAATTGTATTTTTTTTGTAATATTAATATTGTAGTTGTCATCTCATGAAACCTCATTTGATGGGTTCTACAGCTAGTCTACAAATAAAAAAATTATAGTAGTTTCCCTTAGTATTTCTAAGTTTTCTATTTCTTCTCTCCCTGAATTTGCATAAGGGCTTCTTTAAAATCTCCATTTGTTTTGCTAATTTAAAATAGGTGGAATTGGATCGAAGAGGCATAAAGTTACATTTATCTAAATAGTCTAAGAAACTACTCTGAAATGCAAGAATCACGCTTGTCCTAGATAAAAAAAAGTCTCAAATATTTATTACTCAGGTCGGTGGACATGCTCACAGCCCACTTGGGGTAAAGTGGTTACAGGAGCCCATAGACATTAGCAATGTGAATTCCACCACCCACCCTGGGTGATGGAATTTACATGGATATGGGTTCCAAGTCTCCGTTTTTTTTAGTACAACAGCTGCCCAACCTTCAATTTGAAACGCATGCAGGGACTTCCTATCTCCAGTAATTAATTGTACAAATTATAATTTTTGTCTTCACACTTTTTTTACTAAGTTAGGAATACATTTTGTTGTTTATGTTTCATTGCTGGTGTTCCATTAAAGAAGCAGAAGCGATCTCATGTCTTCATAAATCTAATCTTTAATTTAATTCTTTATTGAAATATCATAATCACCAAAACTTTTGGTAACAATAAAAATATGTGAAACTGGTATAAGGGAAATCTTATAAAACAATAAAAATATTCCATTACTGTGAAAACCTTAATGTCACTTTCACCCAACTTAATTACAACTAAAAGACATTGTTAAACTAAGTTACTTTACTGCTTGATTATGTATTCATTGTATTATGTAGTACTATGAATTAAACTTAATTTGGAAATAATTATTATACATTGTTTACTTAATGAAATAAATAGGAAAAACTGTTTTTTTAGATTTCCTTTATTTGCTTAAAAATAATAAATCAAAACAGTCAGCTGTACAGTATTCAAACATATTTGAGATAGATATGTATATTATTATGATTATTTTTCATCAAAAAGTTTTGATAAAAGTCACACCAATACTTATACATATTTGTGTATCAACTCAAAGAAATTTAGGATGCCAAAAACCAATTTTTCAAAAATAAAATAGAAATTCAAAATCAGTCTTACCATATTAGCTTGAGGGACTAAGATCATCAAGCTTGTATATGAATAATATTACCTATTATTAACTATACTATACTATTATATAATATTACCCACTGTTAATTAAATTATATTTGTTTTGTATTCTATCCAGGCCTCTTTAATCTACTTCTACTTATCAATACAAGATGTGAATGGTTAAAAAAAATACCATGTTCCCAAAGGAATTGAAATGTTTATTTCACATCTAAAGATATTTAATGGCATTTACTTTGTGACCGGTATGAACTCTAGCAACCACTAGATCAGCTGAGTTTTTATTTCTTCTGCCCATCCGTGCTAATAAAAAAAAAACTAAGAATTTATTTACAAGTGTAGTAACATAAATTTTTCATTCAGAAAACTTACCAAAACCTTGTTATCAACCTTATCACCTCTTGATTCCATACGAATAAGGGATTTATAAATAACTTTGACATTCTTCCCCAAAACATTGCTGATGCTATCTGTAAGATATTTAAAAAATCAGTTTGGCCAGTCATTAGGAACATACAATGCTTCATCTTTCTTAAATAACAGTAATTAGACAAGAATATATTCTTAGGTTCATTTAATTACTGATTATCATACCATTCAGCTCTGTTGATATATGTGATTTTGCTGGCATTTTCATAAGATTCTTCAGTGTCATCACCCCAATAGTTTTACATGTTTTAAATAAGTAATACTATGATTATTTCAATTTTTATTAACACTTTTGGAAGCATATAAATCGTCAAATTTTTTTGGTATGGTTGATAAAGCATATTGTTAGCTTATCCTGTTTTTCATATGTTATCTAATTTTACCACAACGATAGTGTACTTTCATTTCACTATTATTTTATCCTCTTTTATGATTAACAAAACCATTAGATAGTTAATATCACTATAGTGCTTTAATTGTGAACATGCACAACACAAATACGCGCACTGCGAAGAAGAAAAATGAACCACAGACTAATCCTTGACTAATTAGAGATACGAAAAAAATAAAGTACAAGCACTGAAATCGATTAGAATATAAGAACTGAGATTACTGAATGAATTTATTGATGAAGTTAAGAACTCAAACTTTTGAATTTTAAGGCTTAACAGCAGATACAAGAAGCATGTCTCCATTAGTTTTAAAGTATATTTTGTAATGATGATTTACGTCTACTGCCTGCTATTTTCAAAAATTTTATTCGTTCATCAAAAAAGTTCTTGGTTGTTATGTTTTGTTTAAAAATAATGGCTTATCTCCAAAGTATGTGCCAAAGTACTTTGAGAGAGAGACTTATTTACACTAATTTTTTTCTTGGCATCAAAAATGTCGCTCAAAATTTTCTGAAAGCCATTACAAGTTGATGACTGCACTAGCACGTATAATAGCTTAATTAAGTAACTAATTTGTAAAGGAAATGAGCTTATATGTTGTGATGGCATAGTGTCTTGTAACAAGCTTGAAACAATAGTTTCCAACTAGTTGTGAGAATGGGATTAATGACAAACTGAACGACGACGGAATCAAAAAAAACATCTGGTATTTAGGAGTCACCGCAACTCAAAATCACTCGTATCAAGCGATGGGACGATGCCGATATTAATTTCCCCCGAAAAGGTAGTAGTTTTAAGGAAATCGATTAAACCTCTTGTCTGATTATTTGTAGAGATTCACTATTCACTACCTCAACTCTAGAACCGTCGTTCCGTTGACGTCTGTCACATACTTCATCTTGTAATTTACGGACATTCAAGAAAATAAAGTTTCAAGAGGCAAACTGAAAGTAGATAGATAAGCTAGTACTTTTATTGAAACACTTAGTTCAAAACAAACCCAAATCACAATTAACAAAGAGTAATTACATGAATCTAGAGATTAAGCCAATAGTACATTGAGAGTAGAAGTTGTGCTATTTAAGTGTTGAGTACCTGTACATACCTAGTTTTTGAAGTGGATGTAATCATATTTTTCGTCGTAAATGGATTTGTGCGATTTAATTAATAAAAGAAACTGTCAAGTCTGAATAATTTATATTACATAGATGACAATTGAATGTAGAAGATGAACATAAGTTATGAACGATGTTCGTATTGTAACCGACGTAAATGGCTCACTAGTGGATGTCTACGTAAATGGATTAAACCAAATTCTATGGAATGTAAACATTTACAACGCAGTATTGATAAGAATAAGGATACGAATATTGATATAGTGGATGCTATTCTTATGCCAGAACCCAATTCATCTCTAAATACCAATAAATTTGTAAAACTTTGGAAGAGTAAATTTTTTATAACGACCAGCGTCAGATCCTTACAAAGATATTTCGGTAAATCACGAGGGGCTGATTCAATTTGCAAACTTAATAAGAGCAATGACCCCACATCAGCATTTGAAACAAGATATGGAATAGGAATTGAAATAAAACACACCCTTAGACCAATAATGAAGTGTCAGCATTCAAAAGAAGGACATTCTGTTCTACGCAGTCACCATCAACATGCATCCCTTGAATCATGTGCTATTTATTGTCAGTTATATAAGTATGAGCCCTACTACTTCTGCATTGGTTTCTTTTTAACAGTCAAATTTGCATTCCTTATCATTTAAGATCATAAAATGTGAATTAAAATGATTGTCTTCTTAGTCCTCTTAATTCACTTTCGTGCTTTTTCTGTTGAAAGTGATATTTCAAATTAACAAGATAAAAATGATCTGATCCATTAACAGTTTTACAGTTCAATCTTGTACTTGTACTTTTTGGTTTTAAACACCTTCATTTTATGGTAATAGAACTGTACAACAATTTTTTTTATTGTGACTACATCTCATGAAAACCCAAGAACACACTATGGAGAAAAAAATATCAGTACCCACATTTAACAAAAAGTGTCCATCAATGGTAAAGTCTACATTTAGGCACTCACTAGTAACCATAACATTGAAATTATTATACAGGTATGTAAATGCAATAATATTTGTGTATTTCAGTCATGGCTGGTATTGGGGTGGAATTACATCCAGTGAAGCAGAAGAGTTGCTTGCTGGCCAGCATGACAACGTTTTTTTAGTCCGAGACTCGTATGACTCCAGACACATTCTCTGCGTTTCTTTTCGTTGTGTTGGCCGTACACTGCATGCACGGCTTTTACATGCAAATGGCCTTTTTTCTCTAGATAATGAAACATTTGTGCCAGCATATAGATTATCTGAACATTGTTCTGCTGTTAATGTAAAGACAAATTTATTTGAAATGCCAGTGAAACTAGCTAGGCCTCTAAACAGGTACCTATTTGTAGGAACTACTTCTTACTATAATTATTTTATCAATGTTGTATATGATATATACTAGAATATTGTATATTTTCAGGTTTGCAAAACTAGATTCCCTACAGAAAATCTGCAGGTTTGTCATCAGACAAACAGGATCATCAAATACTTGGGCTAAATTGCCTTTGCCTCCAAATCTAATATCATACATATCTATGGGAAGCGATTACATAATACCATAATTATAAAGCTCTTGTCATATTATTTTGAATGTAACATAAAACAAAAATAAATGTACCTTATGAATAATTATTCACTCAAAATGTAATTATTTGATGGAAAACAATGTAACAATGTGTCTTATCAACTTATATTAAAATATTGATTAATTTAATAAAACATATTTGAGAACAACATCTTTAATATTCAACAATTAATACTTTCTGGACTTGTCACAACTAAATGTACCAACTATCTTCTTATAAAAGTAGAATTCATTTCAAAGTGTTAATCCCTAGGATGTTCTTAGCCTGCAAAATAATAATGAAAAATTAGTATGTTATGAATTAAAATATAAATCAGTTTGTTTAAAACAATATCATAGGTTTTGTTACAATCAATTGCCATAGCCTGCATTTAGGATGATTAGCCCCCTTTTTTTATTATTTCCATTAATATATGTAACGAAAACAAAAGCGAAAAGGATTTTCGCTACTTTAAGAATTTTATGTAAATATTGGGTTTTTTACTACCTATTGTAATGCCTCTGTCTATTATTTTATACCAGGTGGTAATCAAATAATTGGTTTATAAATATTTATTTCTCAAAAGTGCAATTCAAATTTTACTATACAAAGCAACGAGAATACAAAATTACAAACAAAACATTAAAGAATTTACTACATATAACAATAAATGTAGGTATTATATGTATACGGGTATAAATTTTTTATATAAACTGAAAATCACCATACTGGACTGGAGTACAACCTGGCGGTCCTGTAATTTTTTTAAGCCCATGCCTAGATTCTTGATATTGTTTTATAATTTACCCGGTTTCTGAGTTATTGTAGTTCAAGATACCTACATACGTTTCAGCATCAACATAATATGACGAATTTTGTTTTAACATATTAGATCCAATTTTACTGAAAAGTATTCGCCGTTTATTTGTTCGAGAACTTTATTTTGAAACCAAAGCGCGCAATTTTTTCTTTGTTCTAGCTATCAGAAACAATTTAGCCTTTTTTAGGAGGGACGGTTTATCTTATATCTTTAAACGAGCAATTCTTGTTTAATAATATATATAATGCGAATCTCGGAAACAACTCCAAGGATTTTCATAAAATTTAGTATACCTACAGGGGATTTCGGGGGCGATAAATCGATCTAGCTACGATTTATTTTCAGAAAATGTTATTTTATTCGTGTTTTCAATAATCAACTCTTCCCGGCATCTATTAGCGAATAATAATACTATTTTTCTTAATTAAGGGCAACTAACCGCTTTAAAGATACAACAAGATGGCGTTATCAAAAAAACCGAGCAAAGCTCGGTCATCGTCTAGTTTATTATTTATAACACGCGCCCTGTATGAGCGATGGAATTTGCTAACAGCTGCCCGAGTACTTCCAAATGAGACCTAACAGCTCAAAGGCAGTTGCTTCGCGAATGCATCTACTGGATCGTAATCGCGAGAAGACGCTGTGAAGACTCGGCGAGAAACTCAGCTGGCTGATGTATGGGTTAGACTTCACGTCGAACTCTTCGACGAGTTCGACTACCGGGGCCCCTATGCTATGCAACCATAGCCAGTTTTTTTTTAATTTTGCGTTCAAACTTCCTTAAAATTTTAATTCAGATCAATACAGCATTCGAAATCTCCTAACACTTACGTAAATGTCTCCGTCGTGTCCGTGAATACCTAATTTTTGCTTATTGCTAGAGTAGGGTGGAAAAGTCCACGGCCCACTTACTGTTAAGCCCTAAGATAACTGTGCAAATTCCGCCACCCATCTTTTGACATGAGTTCTAAGTCTCAGTTTTATAGAACAACGACTGACCTTTCAAACTGAAACGGATTACTAATTCACGGCAAAAACTAGCGGAGCGGTGCATATTCATTCACGGTGGAAGTTATTCGTGAACATACACAAGGTACGTATTTCGTTAGAACGATTTTCCTACCTGCGGGATTCGAGCACCGGCACGGTGGTATCGCTAGATGCGAATACACCGGGCGTCTTATGCTTTTAGCCAACATGACTTACGAGAGCTTATAGACTAAAAACTGGAAACGATTCATACTTACTGTAACAAAGGCTGCAGTTAATGTTTGTGGGGCGGCGGTAACCGGGTTTAAGTTTAGAGCACCCTGTATTACTTGCGCATCTCGTATCCTGGATGATACAAAACTCCTAGTAGCATTATTTTCTTGGCTATTGTCAGTTAAATAAAACAATTCAGCAGCTTTGTATATTCCAGCCAAACCCACACGGCGAATATACCAGTTGAACTAAAAAATAAATGTTAATTAATGTATACGTGGCGTTTTATATTTATTGTACCTTACTTACCTTACCTTAATTGGATTTTACTCACATCAACACTACGGTCGCCTGAATGATAGCATATATCATCCACTAACGATAATAAAGTAGCTAAGCCATTTGGAACGTTGTTTGGAAGAGTTTGTATTGCCATTGCCTTAGGCCATGTACTCCTGGAAAAGCACGAACTATGGTAGGTGAATTCTTATAGTGTACAAGCTGTGTATGTTCCTGCGTCTCATCATTAGTAGTGGCCTCGCAGACAGCGCGCTATGGAGTAGGGAGGGGCTTTCCCTTACGAAGGATCCAAGATCACTCACTCAATCCGCGTTGAACCACCGCATGCATCATTTGAGGATTGAGGATTATGGGCGCAAGGGACAGGATGCTCCATTTATATTGGTTATAGTTGGAACAACCAACAATTTTTAACCAAATTTCCAACCCCCATTTTAAAGATTTAAGTCGTGGCCTAAAGGATAAGATGTCCGATGCATTCGTATCGAGCGATGCAACGGTGTTCGATCCCGCAGGCGGGTACTCATTTTTCTAATGAAATACGTACCTACTTTATAAATGTTAATGATTGACTTCCACGGTGAAGGAATAACGTGTAATAAAAATCAAACCCGCAAAATTATAATTTGCGTAATTACTGGTGGTAGGACCTCTTGTGAGTTAGGTACCACCACCCTACCTATTTCTGCCGTAAAGCAGTAATGCGTTTCGGTCTGAAGGGTAGGCCAGCCGTTGTAACTATACTGAGATCTTAGAACTTATATCTCCAGGTGGGTGGCGCATTTACGATGTAATGTCTCTGGGTTCCAGTAACCACTTAAAACCAGGTGGGCTGTGAGTTCGTCCATAGATATAAGTAATAAAAAAAAATGTAACTCTTAAAATATCTATATTTTATTTCGCATAACAGTCTATATGTCAGGAGGAAATCGCCGGACTGCCGCCCTCCACTGGGGATCATGGGCGGGGCATGTCGGAGCGAACCGACTAAAACCTCCTGTCGCTCAACAACCAGCATCCAAACCTCGCATGAAACAGGACTCATGAAAAGGCAAAGGGGAGAAAGTGAAGCGTTTAGTGCGGAGCACATCTCTCCCATCACCCTTCCCCTCGGGACGCCGGACTGGCGGTCGTCGGCGCCACGACCACCAGCCCTCTCGGTCGACAGGCTATCCGAAGCCCGCCTAGATGGCGCCGGTTAGATTGGTCTATCCTACGGAATACCCCGTTGGGTCAGAACCAGTGTGGGTTGAGGATAGCCGGCCTTCCATTACCCGGATGCTCTTGCATAAAACGCGTGCAGAGCAGCTTGCACGTCGTTTTCTTAAGCCCCCTTCGCCGGTCCCCAGGCCGACATGTGAGGTAGACCCGAAACACTTACAGGGCCAGGGCTTGGGCGAGATTCGCCTCCCTGACCCCTGCTCGACGGCGGCGGGCCTGTGCGTCTCTCACGCGCCCCGCCGCCTCCTGCTTGATGGTGCACTCGCAAAAGTCGAGCATTGCCTTCCATGACTCGTCGTCACCGAGCATCGTGGCCACAACACTCGGCAACGACAAGTCGTTTACTATTTTTGCGACGAGGACACGACGCCACCCCTCCCATGCGGGGCAGGCAACGAGCGCATGCTCCGCCGTGTCCAAGTCGCAACCACGATGGTGGCACTCTGCCGTCGGCTCGGCTCGGAACCGGGCGAATCGCCTCGACGGTCCTACGACCAGCCGAAGGATCGGCCAGCCGTCTGGACGATGATGTTATATCTCTACCTCACTGTATTGGTTTATTATTTTTGAAACGTATTCATTTTTTTTTAAACAACATGCAATTCAAATGACTCAACAAATAATACAAGGTTCACTATGCACATTACTTTAGATACAAGTCAATGTTTATATTCACTTACTTGTATGGTTTTATCATGAGTAGTCTTGTTACTATAGCATTTTCAATAAACTTTGCTGGAACTTTTGACCCTCCTTTTAAGTCTTCCTGCGGCCACTGCGTTATAGAAATATGCGAAATTTAATGTGCGTAATGGGCAAAAATGTTTAATATATAAATATTTTATGTAAAATATGTACCAGTTTCATTTGCTCAGCTAATTGTTGATTACATTTAATATTAAAATAGTGAATTAAGTCACCACCTCCATTTGGAAAGAGGCCATGAGTAATGGTGGGATAGCCAGCTGATTTTGCACCTGCACTCAAAGACTCTACTGACCATCCAGTTTGAGAAACAAATTCTAAAGCTCTCTCCAAGATAACATCTTTCACATTTTGTTCATATTGGTGATCCTCATTTTCTGTTACTACAGAAGCAATTTTTATATCTGTTCTAACTTCACTGTGATTGTAGTCCTTTACTGTTCCTTGAATATTTCTTATATTAACAGAACTTAGAGGTAAAATGAATCTGTGTTGAGTCCTGAACACTGCCAACAAAAAGAAATATAAGAATATAAATTACAATTTATAGAAATTATATTAGGTACTTTAATTTAGATGACTTAGCTAAAAATTTAACGGGTTAATTATTGATAATAAATTTAATTAACCTTTTGAGCGCGAACCGTCGATAAATCCAACCTCTATTAATGCGCATAAAGTACAGATGGTCGGGATACAAATTATTTTGTATTAAGTATTGACCCTTACGAAAGTGTCCTATCGCGCGCGTTTTTAATTCTTTAAACAACAATTTAAAATAATTTTGCTGAGAATTTAGCTTGATTTTTGTATTTTTT